CAAAAGGAACAAAAGAGAATATAACAGCTAACTAAAGATTTCCACACATTTTTGGAAGGTGGAATGTGGATGGAGGTGAACTAGCTGAGCCAGTAGCGTACCGGGGTTAGGATAGTAGGTAGGCAGTAATTTCTTCTCATGGCTAAGAATATAAGTTGCATTTTTTTCTCCTTTTTTCATTGGCTGTTTCCTCATGTGTCTTTTTTCCCTTTTCTTTTTTACCATTTGAAAGTTACTAAATGCTAAATTAGGTAAAAGGAAAGGAAAGGAAAGGAAAGGAAAAGGAAAGGAAAAGGAAAGGAAAAGGAAAGGAAAAGGAAAGGAAAAGGAAAAGGAAAATGAAAGGAAAGGAAAGGGGAAAGGAAAGGAAAGGGGAAAGGAAAGGAAAGGAAAGGAAAGGAAAGGAAAGGAAAAAAAAGAGGAAATGATTCAGTCTCAGCCTACAGAACCCTGGAAGGACTCAGCATAGGGAGACCCAGGTGCCAAGGAGAACAGAGCTTATGCCCTAGGTGGGCTGAAACACAGGTGAAGTGGCAGTTTACATAATTAACTGGGACACACGGAGCCACCTTCCCAGACTCGGGAAAACTGGCAGCTGGTTTATATTCCCAAGGAAGATTAGATTTATCTCTAAGAAACTGAATAACCAGGTATGTGAAGGTTCCCTCAACAACAAAATCTATGTATCATCAGCAAGCCCTACCTGTACCCACATAAAGCTGAATGGAAAGCTCCCATTCAGCTTTTTAATGTTCTATTCTTAAGTATGAACACTCGGGAATGCTTCTTATGAACAAATGTCAGACCGTGATTACCAAACATTTGAGTAGTAAAAAAGAAAAAATCGAGAGAAAAAAAGCCACCAAAGGAAACAGAGCCAATTAAGAAAGAAGAAAAAAAATTAATCAATGTCCTTAGAGATAAGAAAAGATATTCCACCCATAAAATAAGTATAGGATGGTATGAAAAAGGAAGAAACAGATAAAAAGAGAATTTGAAATTCAAAATAAAGTAGCCATAAAAATTATTCAAGAATTAGAAAATAACAATCAAAGAGATTTCACAGGGAGTAAAAAAGAAAGTCAGATTGGAAGAAAAAAAACACATTTAAAAAATAATTAAGAATTGGTTCAAGACTAATAATTGCCTAAACAAATTCCAGAAAAACATGACAGAGAATAATTATGAGAGGAAATTATCAAGGAAATAATACCAGTAAATACCCCCCTGGGAGCACGCCTGTGAAGTGGCAAGCAGTGAGGCAAAACCGTTTTCCATCAACAAACTTTCAGCACTATTTGTTTTTTAAACTATGCGTCAACTATTTTACAAACAGCTTGAATGGAAAAAAGTCCTGTTTCTTACAGCCAATCTGCTCTACTTTTCTTTATTCCTTTTCTCCACTAATGTCACCATCACCAGTTAGCTCTAAAACCACCACTTGAGACGGAATGTTTCTCCTTTCTGTCCCTCCTGTCACCTCCCTGGAATCGTCCCACCACATTACTCCTGCTGGCCCTGCCCTGGATCTCTACGCCACCGGCCATCCTGCTATCAGCATGCTTCTAAAAGCCCTTCCTGCCTGCAGTGCACTCCTGGCAACGCTCTCCCTTGGAAGCCCCCACCTCCAGGGTCTACACCTCAAGGCCTGGAGTCATCAGTAGGTGTCTTCCCTACCTACCTGACATCTAACAGTTAGCACTCCTGTTTGATTCACCTGTAGAACAGATCTCAAATCCACCTCGACTCACCAGGTCATTGCTGCCATTTTACTAAACCATCATGCTTTCTTTCCTGGAGACTGAAAAACACTCCCAGTGAGTCTCCCCCTGCTCTGATTCTCTGTCTCCCACAGGCCAATTTCCTCACAGCAGCCGGAGTATCTCAAACAATAAACCAGATCATATCAATTCCCTGCTTAACACCTTCCAGGGGCTTCCCGATACAATTAGAATAGAATCTGAACCAGTGAACTCAGGATTATATATGAGCCGGCCCTGCTGACTTTTCAGCATCAACTCCTACTGTTTCCCCATCACTCTCTCCACTCCAGCCAAGCTGGCCTTCTTCAAACACAGCGAATTCATTTACTAGCTGTTCCCTCTGACAGGGTGTATCTTTCCCCAGATTTTAGCAAGGCTGGCTGGGTCTATGTTACCACCACAGAGAAACCCATCCATCTAAGGCAGACCCTTCTCCTCCGCACAATCACTGTTTATCCTGGTGATTTTCAACTGTTTTCATCTCATGGCACGCGTAGCTATCAATTACTAAAATTCTGCAGCACACCACAAAATTTGTTTTGTGCCCATCTGACAAAGGAAAATACGTGTAATTTTGATTCACTCACACCAAACAGCTGTTGTTGTGTTGGCTGTTGTCATTTTTTATTTGACAATCCAAGGGGAAAGAGGTGGTGCCCCTGACTAGTCAGGAGTTAACATGTTTTAAAAATTCTCATGGCACCCTGGCTGGCGTAGCTCAGTGGATTGAGCGCGGGCTGGGAACCAAAGTGTCCCAGGTTCGATTCCCAGCCAGGGTACATTCCTGGGTTGCAGGCCATAACCCCCAGCAACTGCACATTGATGTTTCTCCCTCTCTCTCTCTCTCTCTCTCTCTCTCTCTCTCCCTTCCCTTCCTAAAAATAAATAAAATCTTTTAAAAAAAAATTCTCGTGGCACACTGGTTGAAAAATCACTGGTTTATCCCAATGCCCTGTTTTATTTTCTTTACAGCACATACAGCCAAGTAAATTATTTGTTTACACACTTAATGTTTGCTTCCTATCACTGTCACAGAAGATTCCATAAAAGCAGAAGGGACCCTCCCTTATTCACGGTGTCTAGAATACTAACTAGCACACAGTAGGTACTTCATAAGTTATTTATGAATTAATTTGAAGAAAATAAAACTGATAGTATTTACTTCTTACTTTTAGCATAGAGCTAAATGAAAGTCTACCCTAAGCACTAACAAGTTAACTTATTTTTCATATATCATCAGTCAAGATTGGTACGTTAGCCAAAGTCAGTTTTTATGTAAATCAACTATCACTAAAGAAAAAAGAATACTGGTACATCTTATCAGAATTATTGTTATATAAAAAAGAAACAAATTTGCCTTTTTAGGCACTCTCCCCATGATACATTTCTCAGTTAGATAAGGCATTGAACACTGAAAACAACAAGGCACCCTCCAGAGGCGCAGACATGAAGCCAGGACTCAAACCCAGACTTGGGTCTACAGTGTGTGTCCTTTCCATTGGGTCATGAACTTGATGACATTACAGGTGACTAAGATATTTCAGAGCACTTCTAATCAAAGTAGTCGTAGAAGTCAAAGAGGTATTTTAAAAACCACAACAGAAATTTCAAATGCTATAATGCAGTTTGCAATGCCTAAAATATCAAGTATTGTATATTGACTTTAAGAAAAATTGATTCAGGTTAAAAACACTACATCTCCTGGGAATCAAATATGTTGATTGATTTGAAGAAAAATGAGATTTTAATATTCAATGAGTATAGTCGTCAAAATCTTTTTTAAATATATCATTCAAGTAGCAAAGCAGGACCTCCCAAGGCCACAGAACCAAGTCCAAATTCTGCAGCACACCAAGAGAGCCTTTTCACCCTGACCCGTGCTTCTGTACCAGCCGCTTTTCATCTTGCATCCATGAGTGTGGTCAGCCTCAGGACCATCTAGAAAATTCCTGCTTAACTTTCATCAGCTCAAAGATAATGTCCTTTGTAGCCTTTCTTAATCTTTTTACAGGTTGTTCCCGGGTGAACTCTGAACATAATTTTAAACATAGTATGTTATAGCATTTACTCTGTCATACTTTCCTGGCTAGGCTGTAAATGTTTGCTGCTCTAATACGCAAAACATCTGTCACAGAGTAAATGTTCAGTTAACATTGGTCAAGCTCATTAACTACTGATTGAATGAAAAGTCTTATTATTAGGATTATGTTTATAGCTAAAAGATGCCTAAGTAATTTAACCTACTGTGTGAAATTGAAGGTTTCTTAGATGTAACAACTGTTACTGAAACCCCAGGAATTCAAGCCTATGCACATTATGTTTTTCACATACAAGTTTATTGCTACTCTGGCAAATTCTTCAATCTCTCTACATAGGTAATTTTACTCAAGTAGAATGATCATCTATAAATTTCATTGTATACAAGAGGTTCTGAGAAGAGGTCAGGCCTCTAAACATCACCAATATTCTGGTCCAACACACCCTACTGACTTCTCCCAAACTGTTCTCTGCTTAGAACTTCCCTACATTTCTGATGACATGAATACCCTTCAAAGATTCCATTGCTGCTTGCCTGCATTGAACTCCACTGCAGGTTAATCATAGCAAAGCTGGCAAACAACTAAAATAGCAGAAACATGGAATACGTTCTAAGAAGAAGTCACTTTTAAATGAACTTACTGACTTTATATTGCCACAATAAATTTTCATTTCTTGATGGTCCCCTAAAAAAAGATACAAACTTTTAAAATTTAATAAAAAGTGCTGAGTGCTATTTTAGTAATCCTTTGAACTATTATCCTTAACATTTATTAATAAGATCTGTGACCTCAACTTTGGTAAAATATCAGTTAACATTTAACACTAAAATACACTGAACTGATAATCCTAATTTCAAAATTAAAAACCTAATAAGTATTTGGACAAGTAGAGCATCATTTTATTAGTGTCTCAAGATTACTAACATCCAAGATCCTGAGCACAAAATGTTTTTAAATTTCCTTTCAAAATCCCAACCCTCATTTCTTTGTTTTAAAACATGCCTTCACTTAGTTATTTAAAAATATTTACATAGAGAAAAGTCATCCAACAAGACTGGTTTTGACTACTATATGATTCTAACTCATTTAGATTCTTCTAGGAGTTATCTTAAGCTTGCCATTTAGAAGTGCTTGAGTCATTTAATCTTAATCTTTTACGCTGATAAGCATTAACACAAACAACGTAGAGTACAAAAGAACACAGAAAAATCTGTTGGTTTTATTGGTATCACAGTGGTTTTAATACACGCTAAATACAACTGTTAGATATTTGATCACTTATCCTTCAAAACAATATGCCAAGATCAACCTTAAAGCATGTGCAAAAATGAAAATGTATAAAATACCTTCAATTAACTCTAAGAACTCCATATATAAATGCAAAAATTTGAACATGTCAATAATCACATTAAATGTTGAGCTACTGACTGAGCAGTAAACCCAATTTCTGACTTTAAAATTAAATAGCTACAGGTAAAAGTGTACAGTTTCCCACGTCTGCTATCTTTGCACCCTGCACAGAGTTCCAAGGCAAAGACTGCTTCCAGCTTTATGGATTACCAGGGACGAAGGCCTGTGTGGCTGGCTTATCACAGGCCTTTTAGTCTTCTTTCCTGACAGATCCTTAGCTTCTTTGGGACGAGGCATATGAATTGGTTTCCAGGGAATCGGGTTATAAAAGGCTGGTTCTGGATAAGAATTTCCACTGTAAAAACCTACAATTATTAAAAAATCAAAACAAGATAACTTGATATCAAAGAAACTAGTTATGTTTAAATTCCTAGAAAAATCTTAAAGCATCAAAAGGGCAAAAATACCATTAAACCAATCTCATTTAAAATGAACTCTTAAATACTTGCAAACAAGTAACACTTCCTAAATACAGCAAATATTGCAGTAAAAATTAACATGTAAATGATAAACCTGGGTTCAAAAAATGTTAATGCTAAAATCTATATAAAAACTCCTAAAATTATACTAAGAATTTAAGTTTAGAACCCTTAAATTGAACAAAATCTTCATTTTCCTAACTAAAGGTGGGGAATAATCACTAACTATGTACTAGTTTCCCCCAGTCTGACACTAAAGTTTACAGAAAAAAAAATTACACTGCCTATGTAGCTAAAGTGAGTCAAGATTCTTAGCTAGAATCACTGAAATTCTAAATTACTGCCACTCAAATTACTAAGATTTAATAATGTCACTGTAATTTTGATTACTAATTAGGGAAATGTCCTCTTGGTAGAATGTCTATGAAGTGTTTAATGAGTTGTGATGTCCAATATCTAATAATTATGATGGAAAAACACATGTAAATCATATTCAAATCCTCCAGTCACTGTACGCATGTAAATGCCTTTATTTCACAATTTCTAAAAATGATGTGGGCTTAAGAATAGAGACTTAAGGGCATATGCAGACAAATATGATGCTTATTAAACTAAAACTCATTAAAAGCAAAAAAAATCCATTGTTTTAGCAATTAACTTCTAGTCAATATGCAAATTTCCTCCTAAAGTTTTAACCAATCGTTTGGTCCGAAACACTGCTCATCACACCTCTTTCACAGGAGAAAAGAAAAGAAGCGGAGCAGACCGTGCTCAGTAGCCGGAACGGATGACCTCTGTGACACGCAGGAGAAGCCCGAGCCCTGACAGCAGGAATGTGTCATTCAGACACTGGCAACCCACTCTGACTGCACAGATATGTCAACACACACTTCACCACGATGGTCAAAACAAAGTCTGGAATATGTTCTATTGTGTGAACAAAACAGAATGGGAGTATTTTTAATAATAAATCACTTAAACAAGTGAAGGCAGCTGTCAGCAAGGTATGAGCTTCCAACACGAAGCACAAAGAAAGACATGCACTACCATTTATAACCAGAGAGAGCCTGAAGGCCAGCCGGCTTTGTGTCTGGTTCGTGTGTTGTCTAGCGTTCCACCTGCGCAAAGAATGTGTCGCAGACACTGGAAACTCTGCCTCACAGAGGGCTACAAGGAGGAGAGGAAAAATCACCCCTTAAATATGTCCTGTTTATGGCTTTCAAGTCCAAACAAAAAAAAATGTAAGAAAATATAACTTGTTTCTTAACATTAGAAATCATTACTTTGCAGCTTTGCAATTACAGCCTTTAAAATATATCTGACTTATAATGACAATAAATTTGTAGTATCTCCACAGGATCATAGTATACTATTATACAATGTTGCAGAAAATTGTACTTTGAAAGAAAAAATGATTTCACACATTTCTATTTCTGTCAAGAGAAAACAAAATGGATACCATTCCCTCCTGCAAGCCATGTTTATGTAAGCCACCGAGCACAAACACCGACCTGTAAGTTTTCCATTGGCATAACCATAGCTCTTTGCAGCGGGACGAGGTTTATTTTTTGCATTTTCCAACCATTCCTTAAACTTTTTTTCTGCTATTTCCTTTTTTTCCTGTAATTCGGCTTGACGTTGTTTTTCTTTTTCCTTAAAATGACAAGACCAAAGAATCTCCAGGGATATTCTGTAACTAAAGTTCTACTGACTTTTCCCCAGCAGCTTCCCACCCCAGTGACTTACTGATGAGAAATAACAAATCATATTTCTCTAATTGAGAGCAGAATTTAACATGATCAGGGATGTGATATGAAGGTGGCTGCCTCTACAAAAGACATCAAACCCAAAAAGAAAAAAGCAATTTGCTATTTTGAAATAGAATAGTACTTTAAAATTATATAATAAAAGCACCAACAAAAACATTTAAAAGCATTAACAATGATAAAAAGAGTTTGAACCTAACTGAAAAAATATCAACAGGCTTATTAACATTTTTCAGCCTAAGAAAACCACAAATGCATAATCATTTCCGAAGCTTAAACATAGTATAATAAGTAGGGATAGCTTCATATATTTGTTTTATACTAAGACGGTGCCAATTTTCTATTAGCGACTTTTTATGTGATACAGTGGATATACATAAACACCAAAGCCATGAATTCTAACCCATTACTTTAAATACCTTTTCTTTCCTCTTCCTCTCACATTCTTCAGCATTTTTTTTCTTTAACCATTCTTGATATTTTTCTTTTGCTTTTTCTTGTAAATGTTCTTTCTCCAGTTCCTTTGCTGCTTTTTCTTCTATTTCTTTACTGATTTTTTGTTCCCTTTCTTTTCTTTTCTTAAATAAAAATAAAGGAATTTTAACTGGAATATCTATAATTATCTTCATACAAAGGAGTGTTATATACAATAATCTCCTAGACTTCAGTTATTTCTTAAAATAGGTGGAAAAGTGGTTGCCACAATTTGGCTTGTGAAAATATGTAACAAAACTGCAATTACCTGGACAATTCCAGTCTACCAACTTGCTAGAAGATTCATTATGGCAGTAATAAAGATATTTTTCTCCAAAGTATACTCAGAGCTTGAGACAGTACTGAGTAAATAGTATGTGCTCAATAAAGATTTGAATAAATTAGTAAACAGAAATTACAGCCTGTATTTGATTGTCCTGAATTTGTGTTTTTTAAATAAATGTTTACCCTCTAAAATGTATGTAACACATATGTACACACTTCTTGTACAGTTTGCCAATATGATTAGTTGGACAAATCTTCACCATCAGTGAGTTACAGAAGACAAATAAAGAACATCTTGGCCCATTAAATACTGCTGTAAGGGCACATACAGACAAATCTTTGGCCATGTAATTCTTGTTAAGTCTTACATAGACCAGTGGTTGGCAGCCCTCAGGCTAAATTACGGTCCACTGGCCCCCTTTTATTTTTAAATAAAGTTTTATGGAAAATGGCCACACCCATTTATTTACATATATATGGTCTATGGTAGCTTTTGTACCAAAACAGCCAAGTTGAACAGTTGCAGCACAGATTGCATGGCTTGCGAGGCCAAAAACAGCAGCTGGTGCTTTACAGAAAAAGTTTGACACAGGCTATAACTCAATATTTTTCTTTTCTTATTCAAAAGATAATCTACCAACACAGCTAAATTCTAAACAACCAATGACATGGGTAGCTGTCTGTAGCAAAGGTTTAGAAAATAATCTACAAGGCATAAAGTTTATAATACAAATGCCATACACATCACCCTTCGTGGAGCAAAGAAATGTGAGCCAAGAAAGAAATGCTTGCCTTGAAAGCAACTTCTAGAATATTTTAATATAAGCAATTCAATTAATTGCCAAGTAACAAACATCAGTTACAAACAATATATGTTCAGTTCTATTACAGGAAAGGCAGGTCTTACAGATTGATCTGTAAGTTCAAGTCATTCCCCAAGTTGTATTTCCTTCTTGTTGGCAGCCAATAGCTGCAAAAAGGAGTCCATTCTTGCTGAGAACTCAATATCCATCGATTTTATCCACTGAATATTGGAGTTCAACAACTTCATACTGCCAGCAAATCTACAGGGTTAAGGATGTAGGAGCGTACCGTGCCGAATCTTTGAGTCATGAGACTCCTCCATGATTTCATCAACAAGGAGTCATCTAGTCCCTACATTGTTTTTAATTATAACAGCTAACATTTATCCAGTGCTAACTCTGCCTGTTACTATTCTATACATTTTATATGCATGTACTATGTCAATTAATTCTTATAACCACAACATGAGGTAGAAACTGTTATGATTTCATCTTATAAATGAGGAAACGAAGACACAAACAGGTTAAGTAATTCACCTAAGGTCACAGAGACAGTAAATGGCAGATAACTGCTGATCATAGGGACACTGAATTGAGATAATGTTAAAAACACTTTTATGCTGATAATTTCAATTTAAATAAAATGTCAAAATTGCTTAAAACATACCACTGTACAAAGCTGATTCAAGAAGAAATTAATATCTGAGTAACCTTCTACTTGTAAGAACAATTCTGAATTGAAAACTTTCCCACAAAGAAAACTCTAGATAACTTCACCGGTGGATTCTACCTCACAAGGAAGAAATAATACAACTACTACAAAAATTATTTTAGAAAATAGAAAACAAAAGAAACATATCCAAGCTCACTTTAGAGTCCCGTATTACTCTGATATCAAAACCAGACATAGAAATTGTAAGACAACATCAGAAATAAGGCAAGATAACTACTCTCATCTTCAAAAACATGACATACTTAGTGGTACATTTAACAAGAGATGGACAATACCCCTGTACACTGAAAACTAGACAACATTACTGAGGGAAATTATAGATGACCTAAATAAATAGAAAGAAAAATCATGTTCAATGATTTAATATTTAATATTATTAAGATGGCAATTTTAATTATCTATATATTTAATGAATGCCAATAGAGTCAGGCACTTTAATGCAAGCATGACTAGGAAAATTGATTAGATGACTCTAAATTGTATGTGGAAAGATGTAGAGTAACTAAAACAATTTTGGAAAAAAAAGAATTGCACATCCTAGAAGCATTAAGCTCCAACAACAGGCTAGTGTGGTGCTGACACAGAACATAATAGATCAACGGGACAGAAGACAGTCCAGAAATAAACTCATATGTACATGACCAACTGATTTCCAACAAAAGTGTCAAGGTAACTGAATAAGAAAAACATTATCTTTTCAACAAACAGTGTTGAAACACTTGGATATCCATATATGGGGGGAAAAAAAAGGAATCTGGACCCTTAACTGTAACCACATATTAAAATTAATTCAAAAAATACACATACGGGTAAAAGCTAAAGTTATAACACTTCTAAAAGGAAACAAGAATATTTTTACATCCTTGGTGGTTTTTTAATAGGACACAAACCCCACAAACTGTAAAAGAAAAAATTTAAATATGGAACTTTATAAAAATTTAAAACTTCTGCTCTGTAAAAATTACTATTAAAATAAATTAAATGGGAGGGAATATTTGCAATACAGCTATGTGACAGGACTTAAAGGAATATATAAAGAACTCTTAAAATTTATTGATAGAACACACCTTCCACAAGATGGGCAAAAATTTAAACACAAAACAAAACGAGAAAAGATGTAGAAATAGTCAATAATGCTATGGAATGAATTGGGTGACCCCACCCCCAATTCATATGTTAAAGCCCTACCTCAACATGACTGTGTATGGAGAAAAGACCTTCAAAGAAGTAATCAGTTCAGTAAGGTCATAAGGTCACAGGACTGGGTTCCTTACATGAGGAAAAAGAGACTTCAAGAGCACATGCACAGAGGAAAGGCCATGAGAGCTGGTGGAGAGAGTGGGTGCATGCACAAGCCAAGGAGAGAAGCCTCAGAAGAAACCAAACCATGCCGACACTTTCATTTTGGACTTCTAGCCTCCAAAACTCTAAGGAAACAAATTTCTGTTGTATAATACCCAGTCTGTGTACTTGTTATGGCAGCCCTAGTAGAATAATATAATAAATACGTGTGTACAAAGATGCCAAGTATCATCAGATCTCAGGGAAAGGAAAATTAAACGACAATGATGTACCTCTACACACTTACTGAAATGACTTAAAATGAAACAAACTGACAATGTAAAGTTTGGCAAGGATATAATGCAATTGGGATTTTCATACAATAGTGGTGGGAATGTAAAATGATACAAGCACTTTAAAAAGCAGTTTGGCGATTTCTTATAAAGTTAAACACATCCTTACTGTGCAACCCAGCAATTCAGTTCCTAGGCATTTACCCAAGAGAGATGAAAACAAATATCCACAAAAAAGACTTGTACATAAGTTGTCATAGAATTTTATTCATAATACTCAAACCAGAAACAACCCATTGTACATTAACTAGTGAACGGATAGACAATTTGTGGTATTACATAGAATAGAATACTACCCAGCAATAAAAAGGGACACTCTTGGTACATAAAATGGGGAATTTTAAAAATGAAAGAATACATATTGTAGGATTCCATTTAAATAAAAGTCTAGAAAATGCAAATCTAACCTGCAGGGACAGAAAGCACATTAATGGCTTCCTTGGAGTGGGAGTTAGTTGGGGGTGGGGTGCAGGGTCTGAATGCAAAGTGGCAGGAGGGAACTTTTTGGAGTGATCGGAAGGTTCCGGATCTTGACTGTGCTGCCAGTTATACAGGAACATAAGTTTGTCAAATCTCATCCAACTTTAAATAGGAGTATTTTGTTGTATATAAATTACAGCTCAAAGAAGTTGGTCTTAAAACATCAGATAGGCTCTCCATAGGACTGAAGCTGGAGAAGAGAGAATGTAATGCTGTTGGTGAGCAAAAGGAGAGCAGAGCAGGTCTCAGACAAGTGCTGAGAGAGAGCAGCCAGTCACGAAGTGGCTACGGCTTTTCCGGGATTCGAGTTCTACACTGCACAGCGCACAACAACAAATCTTCCCTTTTTAAAGATGGTGCCCTGAGAGAAGCTTTGTTTCTTGAACTAAAGGAAACTAACAAAACAACTGGCTAAGGTTTCTGAATTTCTGCTCTGGATCCCTTAGTACCTGGCACATAGTAAAGGTGTAGAATGCATGAAGAATGCACTATAACAGTGTTACCAATTATACGCATTGTTGACCCAAATTAATTTTTTACATTAAAAAATCAGTTCCATGGTTTGAGGATTAAAAATTATTTTATTTTTAAATAACTGGTTTTTTTTTTACTGTTGGATATATTTTAAAATAATTTTGAAAACAATGAAGGTAAAGACCCTTTTACTAAATATGTGATAACACACTGCAAAAAACAAGTCTAAAAAAATAAATCAGTTGGCAACACAAATGTAAGAGTACCAGATGAGATAAGCCATTGATTTGAAGCAGATTTAACAATTTACAGTCGTAGTATAAGAAACCAGCTTTGCTAATGGATACATAAATTCTTTTTGTCTGATTTTTTGATAGAACACAGTGAAACTATGTAGAGAAAATAGGGCCGGAGATACAGCTAAAATGTGAATGAGGCTGGAGGCAGTGGAGGACCACACACCATGCAATGTAAACAGAGGAGAAAAACGCTAGACGCCAGACAGAAAGAAAAGAACCAGGAGGGCAGTCTTTGCAAATAGAAGCAAATGTAACTACGACTGAAATGAGAAATCTGATAGGTTTTAAAGAAAAAAATTTTGAGTAATCAATTATTTCTTAAAATGAACAAAACTTCTGCAGAATAAGTAAACTTAATTTCTCAGGGTTCATTTTTGAACTCTTCTCAACCTTGTGGAATCCTGCTTCCAATAATTAGTGACTGATGTCAGGGCGTGCCATTTCCCTCCAAAGAAAGAAATTTTTTCTCAAATAATTGGATTAGATTGAGTGCCACTAATTAAAACAGAGAATACATCATCTCTCAGCAGTATCTTACATTCTTAGACAAACAACAACTACCTTTGACTGGCAGGGCAAAATGAGCTTAATGGAGTTAGAAGATAAGAGAAGCTTTTAGAGGAGAGAGCATGCTATTATTGTCTATATGTAAAACTATTTTCTTTTTCAGTTATAAACTTCAAAAATGTATCAGCCAAAGGTTGGTAAGGGTCACAGAGACTTATTTTGATTTTGGCATTTATTCCCAAAGAACTCTCTTTTGTTGTCTTATGGGATGTTGCTACATTAATTATAATAATATACTTTTAAAGTAAAGAATAAATACATTTATAGTCATAATGCACAACGTCTAGCCCATTTCCTTCTCTCACTACCTGGAGGAAGAAAGCTGTGTCATCATCAACTTACTGAAAGGATTTACAAGGTACTCTTACTAATATCACGGGGCATTAGATAGAGCAATAGTTAAGGGAAAATATCTATAATTAAAAATTTAACACTTTACCTTACAATTTAAATATTTGACTAAATTCATAAAATTAGATTATAATAAAAAAGCAGAATCATTCTAAATATGAAAAACTCACAACAGATAAACTGATAAGTATTTAAGAACTTTTTAATTTGTGATTCAATATGAGAATGTATTAAAATTGAAGAAAGATAATACTGTTCATTCATTCCAACAACAAATGTTGTTGTAAAGCATTATATTAGATCTTGTAATGAATTAAAACTAGAAAAATTAATTCCTATCCTTAAGGCTTAAAATTACAAGGAAAGGGAAGATATATGTATAATACAAAATAGCAACAAAATATACACATAATACAAAGCAGTATATGCCAAAGTGATAAATATGAATAAGGATTCAGGAAGGAAAGAATTTTTTAGCATGTGAACAGCAAACGCTTCATGCAGGAGGAAATGCTGTGATTTGGGTAATAAAAGGAAAGGTAAGGTGGAGGATATGATGAGACTCCATGCTGATAAAATATCATGTATAAAAATAAAAAGTAAGAAACAAAAGAAAAATGTTTTTAAAATTTCTCATAAACACATATCCCCAGGGGCTGGAGAGTACAATCCAAAGCTCAACATTTCTTTGAAATCTATTGTACATGTTAAAAGTCATATAAAATTTATATTCTGCTCCATTAAACATCTAGAGTTGCTTTATCATAAAGATAACATTTTTCTCTCAAAATTTTCCAGTAAAACTAATACTCCAAGAAGATGGGCCATGATTATCCTGTGTACACTCCTAAAAGCACGCCCTAAGAGTCAACAGCATAGAGTAAATGAACCACAGGTAGAAGACGACATGGCCCCGAGAGCTGAGAGTAGAAGGTCTTTAACCAGCCAGAGTGGAATTGTTAAGACATTATTCAGAAGACAGTGAGGAATCATGAAACATGTTTTTTGAACTGGGAAATGACATTTGACTGTTTCAACAAGGTTAGTCTGGCAAGAACACAGAGGATGGATTCATTGATTCAACAAAAACCTTGGGGCATCTATTAAGTGTTAGATACTGATCTAGCTGCTAGAGAACTGGACAAAAAAATAAAAAATAGATGGCCTTATGGAGCTTATATTACAGCATGGGAAAATAAACAAACAAAAACACAAAGTTGAAAAATGTAATGAGACCCAACAGGAAGAGATCCCAATAGGAGAGTGGTGATTGAAAGGAAAGGAGGGGATGACTACAAACCACAGAAGAATTCTGATTATGCCTAGGTGACTGAGATGACAGTAACCAAGAGTTAGGAGAACAGTTCTCACAAAGGAAAACGGGCAAAAGTGGGCTGTTTTAGATTTGTAGGCTCAGAGGTAGCAGCCAACCTCACAGATAAAAATCCAAGACTCAAGAAGGTCAGGTCTAGGGGTACAGGCATCAGGATTACCTGAGCCAGATACAGGAAGAAGCCACATGAGGGAAGGGGAGATAAGTAGAGAGCAAAAAGCACAAGACAGAGACTTCATCAATGTCCATGAGGGCAGAAAAAAAGAAATCAGGTCAGAGAAGAAAGCATCTAAGAGATACGAGAGAAACCTAGGTGATGAGGAGTAATGGGGAGAACACTTTGCAGACGACACCTCGGGGGTGTGTGTGTGTGCATGCTTTTCTTCTCTCCTTACCTGTTCGTTCTTTTTCTGAACCCATTCCTTGTGCTTTTCTTCAGCAATTATCTTTCTTTTTTCACGTTCTTTCTCTTCTTTTCTTTTTTCTAGCTGTTGATTTAATTCCTGTGAATATTATTCAAACAAAAGGCAACATTTAATAGAGGTACTCAAATCACATATTTTTTAAAAGGCTGACGTTAACTAAATTAAACAAGCACAGTTTCCTTTATAGGAAATATACCATTAGTGACAATAACTTAAGTAACTAGTCTGTGATGAAAAGAAAGCATTGGTAAAAAGTATGTCATTTTTTAGAAATGCAAATAATTGCTTGGCAGCAAAACACTAGTTTCTTAGACTAAACTTCAGCTAAATTACCCTCATTGAAATCAACTTTCCCACACATAAATTTTGGCATCACTGTATGCTCTTGGCAGAAGCTCAAGGGAATTGCAACCTTTTTTTAGTTATAAAAAGCTTTTAGATTCTTGTGGAAGATAAAGGGTAGGAATTAAATAATCCCTAAATTTAAAAATTTAATTCAGAGTCATACCAAAGAAGAGATGTACAGAAGCCATTCAATTTTCTTTAGGGGAAAAAAAAATCCAGATTTTTCTTTACTCATTTTATAGCTGCTGGAGTGTAAAACAAAACCACACTCATATCCCATATGCCTTGCTATCACTGGAATCTACACGTTCGGGCATTTCCTAAGGAGAAAGAATGTGGAAGGTATGGCCAAATAAAACTCCAAGCTGAATGCCACCACTCTGTCACTCATCAGTTAAATTACTGCATTAGTTGAGAATGCTGTTCAAACTAGACTCCTGGGACTCTACTACTATAATTACTGGTTATTTTTCTTCTCTCTCCTTGGATAGTAATAATCAGATCCATTTATACATCTTCCACTGAACCTCCCTCGTCCTTCCCTCTCCTCCCTTTCTCAACGACCAACCTACCTGGGCACCGTGGTCGTGGGAAGGACAATGTTTCAACTCTCAGGCAATTCCAGTGTGTTCAATGAAATGAAGGTAAAACTTGACACCAAGAAAAATATCTTTTGTACTTCAGAACACCTGAGGCACAGGACACCTGTCTTCCATGTCCTCTCAGCCTAAAATTCTGCTGCATAGAAAAAACTGCCCTCACTCATTCAGGAAGTCTTTCCACTTTTCAGATACTAGACTCCCCTCAGTTTCTGATATAAAATAGCCATCTTGGTTTTAAAAAGATTCTTCATGACCTCTGTAGCTGCTATTCCTTAATTATTCACTTTATACTTCTTTTATGAAGTGCCTTCCACAAAGGTCGCATGAACTGAGACACAGGGATGAAATCCCAGAAGTCTCTGGTCTAATCTCCTTCTATATGCACAAAAGAATGAAGCACTACATTGTGCAGGATTATGTATAATATGAGTTCAGAAAAGGGAAAAGAAGGGAAGATGAGAGGACAAACAGTGTAGACCAGGCTGGTCAAAACCAAGCACTGTAAGAGGAACAGTGAGGAACTGGCTTTCCTACAAGACATTGCAGTGGTGGGTGATGGGGGTGTAACTAGGTAGAAAGGGGTCTTTTGAGGCAGGCAGAGTAAACTGAACACCATGAAGCAGTAGCAGATAGCAAAGGGATGATTTAGAACTCAATGGTAAAGGTTAAAGACTGCGTTAAAAGAATCGGAACTCTTCTGAGGGAGGCTGACTAGGAGGCTGCTACAGTATATGAGTTGCAAGGGGAAGAAGGCCTGGGCTTGCGTCAAGAAACAAAAAAGGGGAATTCATATATGTATGTATGTATATATGAATGACAGGCTAGATACAGACCTAACAATTGTATGTCCAAAATTTCCCTATACAGTCCTCAATTTTGTTTTCAAGAAAATCATTTAAATACACAGCTAAAGATATGACTGATTATATTTATGTACCTTCTTAAGATCCTTCATATCATTAAACTCAAAAATTAGGGGAAAAAATCAGCTTTTGTGTTCCCATTTTATGGCTCACAAACTTTGGTTGATGTTGACATTAGAGCTAAAGATAAAGGAAGGGCTAAAAGCATGTGGAAATGACTACCACTGACCCAGGCAGTGCTCTTATCTCAGAACGCCTGTGCAATCAATTCTCTACCCCAAAGTATACCTCCCCTTCTGAGACCTGACCCTCCCTTCCAAGGCTGGCTGTCTCAGAACTTCCCATCCTCAACACCTCCACTGCTCAACACCAGGGCAAAACTCTTCCGGACACAGCTGGAGCCTTCTCTCACAAGGCCCCTACAGCGTCTCCTGGCACACCACCGCGTTTCAATGAGATTGCAGCTATTTTCCCGCAGAGTAAACAAACACCTGATTACAGAAAATGAAATCCAAAGAGGATGCTAAACAGCATTTTTATTTCAATAGCTTTTGTCAATTTTCAAAGAACGGTGTCTAACACCGAAGGTAACAATCATAAAAACTGACAGTTTTGAGTTTCACCAACCCAACATCCAACCTTATTCCTTTGTTACAGGCTGATAAGTGAAATGACCGAAGCAAAGATAGTGAGGGGGAAAAAGCACCCGGATTATTCACAAACTAGATACCTTTTATGATTTAGAACAGATAGCACTAAAATGTTTAAGCAAATGTTAAAAATTAACATTACCAAAAGCCATAGAGAATTCAGGGCAGCCTGTTAAACAATTTCTTTAAATAATAAAAATATAAATAAAACTGACATGACCTACAAAACCACTTAGTTTTTCATAATACTAATATTCCACATTTACCAAATGTATCACCTTAACATAGTTTAAAAAATTTTTAAATTTTGTAAGCAGGTAATTTTAATGGGTTAAAATAATTTCTTAACTCAATCTTACAGAGATATGTGAAACAGATCTAAATGTCTGTTGCTGAAGTCAAATTTATGGGAAGAGATGATCTTTTTAATTAGCCACTATTCTTTAAATTTTCCTTTAAGTTTTTAAGAAAGAAAATAAGAAATTCATGGTTAAGTTCAAAATTAAATGCTAAGTCTGACCCATTTATTTCCAAAATGCATCTTGGTCTTGTGGATAAAACACTTATTAAATTGGAAGTCAAAAGAACTAGGATCCAGTCCCAGCTTAGCCACTAACTGAAAACCTTGGCAAAGTTACTTTCTGCCCTCATGTTCAATAGGAATCTGAGATGAACTGTTGTTTATGGTCAACATTCTGTACTTTTAATGATATATTTGTAAATGAATTAGAGAATGCAACAAATAAGGACATAAAGAAAGCATAACTTATAAAAAAGAGAAAGGCATCTAAAGAATGTGAATACCACAATATCTGAAAATAAGCTTACAAGAAAGTGAGGAGCTGGCCTGTGGGTTATGATATCCATGGCATGACTGATACAATAAGATTCATGTTAAAATATTTTAATTGCTTCAGAGTTACGTGATGATGCAGAAGTAATGTTATAAGAAATGTCACATTACTAAATACATGAAAGGGTTTCAATCATTCAACCAATTGTTCTGCTAAATGCTTAATCACTGTGGTAGGGACTTCATATTCATTATTTTAGTCTTCTCTCAAAACAAATCTTCAGTAGTTTATTATCCCCTTCAACACATGGTAACAACTGTCACTGAGTGCTTCCTACAGAGCGGGCCGCTTCCAGATGTTCACTTAGTCCTCATAATGCAGTGAAGTAAAGACCGTTTTCTCCCTTTCACTGGTAAAGAAATCGAGGTGGAACAAGGTTGAATCCAAGAAGTACAGCTCAAGAAGACACACTTTTTAAATCTCTACTGCCTAACGGTTGGCTTACCAACGAAGAGACTGAGTTCTCAGAGAAGTGAAGTAACTTTCTCAGGGCCACGGAGTTACAAGGGCAAGGCTAAAATTTCATCCTCGTTCTATGTGACTCCAAAGCTCTGGCTACCCTTATGAACTTAATTAACTTCTCTTATTGTATGTCGATTCTAAAAATGACCCGAGGTGACCCTCACTTCAAGCGACTTCTAGTGAGGATAGAGATAAAGATAAATACCATAAACTGAACTCCACTCTACCACTGACTCACTAGATCAATGTTTTCCAAACTGTGGCTCTAAAACCAGTTTAATGGGACATGGCCTTTAAAAGAAAAAAGAAAAATAATACCAGGTTTTGCAAAAATTAAGATATTATTTTAAGTGTATGTATGTGTGTATGACATTAAGCAAAGTAAATTTCTGACCGTGAACACTATTTTGAAAGCTACTGAACTAAGTAATGGAGTCTCAATACACAAACTAATTATGAAAATAAGTGAGGCTGTGAACAGCAATGATATGAATAACAATAAAACAACATGAGCTATCTTTATACTTTGTTTCATTTAAACCCCACAAAAATTCTGTGACATCTACATTATTTTATCCTGACTGTAAAGATGAGGAAATTGAATGGAGCATAAAGTTCAAATAAGCCCACCTGACATCAAACCACAGGGCCTTTCTCAGACTTTTTGCCCTTCTAAGAGGAAATAAATACTACTGTGCAGTTTTCCAGGGATAAATCTGTATTTTAGAATATAAAGTATCATGCAGTAGGGAAGCAGCAGAAGGTATTGGTTTTTTACAATCATTTAAATCATGCCAAGCCCCTTGAATATGAGACTGAGTACCTGCAGAAACCCACCACAGCAGTAACAACTAGTTTCTAAACTGACACGGAAAATTGATTCCAAAGATCATGGAGGGCAAACTTTTAGTTCCAAGAATTTTTATGACAACACAATTACTAATAGACTAGAAAAAACTTAAATATCCAACAATAGTGAAATGGTTAAATATATCCTTATATATATTTAGTACACTGTACATATTTTAATAATCTTAGCCAGCCATTTAAAAATTATATTGTAAAAATATTTAATGATAAAGAAATATACTAATAAGTGTAACCAGTAGAAAAAAGCAGGTTATAAAGTTTGCTCCTATTTCATTAAAAACAAGAAGTACCCCTCACCATTCAAACCTACTTGTTTTCTGTGTTGGATGGGGAGAATTCAGATTATGAGTCTAGATATGGAGGATGCCAAGGTACCCAAATCTGTTTGGCTGCTAGGTTCTAAAGAGCAAATAGCAAGAGTTCGAAGAATGAGGGATTCGTGTGAAAATGTATCTAAAGCTATTGTCTGAGCTTGGAGAATGGGAGTTCAGAGAGAAAACATCCCAGAGACAGAAATACCCACAAGCAAGGCAGGGAAGCACAGAGAAAGCGGAAAACCCTGAAAGCCTGGCAGGTTACGGTCTCCCAGCACAAACCCACTGCAGGGCGCAGGCTCTGAGAAACACGTGGGTAGATTACTACCTCTATTTTAACTTTTGTTTCTCTCCTTTTTTGAAAATTTTACCAAGTATGTACAGTTGAATTTACTTTAGTTAAATGTACATACGGTGAAGCTCCAGTGTATGCATCTATATATATATGTGTGTGTGTATATATATATACTTGCACATATTTATTTTTTTAACTTATATGAAAGAAAATCTGGAAGGCTATACACCTTAATGTTAACAGTGGTTATCTTCAGGTAGTCAGATTAGAGGAGATTTTAATTTTCTTAATTATGCTTGGCTGTATTTTCCCAATGTTTTTAATGATGACCATGTACTATTTCTGCAATAAGAATTACTGACACAAACAAAGGCAAAAACTTTGTTTTGAGGGATAATGTTAACATTTTAATTGCAACAGCAGCTCTGCTTGGTGAGCTCAGGGATTAAATAAAAAGAACACTGTCTAGTTTCACCTCCAGAGCTTTCTGGTGCAGACGGCCACGTTCTTCTTTTTCTTTGCCAACAAACCACATTTCCCATGGGGTCAGGCTGCTTGCTGGTGAGCGCACCTGTTTCTGTTCTTCTTGGTTATCTTTGGATCTGGCCACACTGTTGCAAAAGAGAGGACACTGCAGCACTCATAGTCTCTGGCTTAACAGTCAAAATTACTTAGCTGTACAGTAAAAGCAGAGTTTAATAATATATAACAATACTGTGATTTTTTATAAGTAAATATATATGAATCACATATAAATATACCTTTGAAAAACCACAAAAAGGAACTCCAACATTTGAATTAAAGTTTATCCACCAAACTACCTTTGAAGGCCTTTATCTTCTAAAATTACATCATTTTAAAAACCTTTTGGGATGACATACACCCAGTCCGTTTGCCTCAATGACAACAATATTTTATTCTTAAAAATCTCCTATCAGGACAACTAATTACAATGCATAATCCTAGTCAGATCCTCCAGCAGACTTTTTCCTTCTCCTCCCTTAAATAGTTTAGGGAAAAGAATATGTATATATACAGAATATGTTTGTGTATATATATAAAACAAATGACTTAACAATTAGGGATTCTGGGTGAAGGGTGAACAAAAATTCTTTAAAAGCTCAATTTTTCTCTAAGTTTAAAATTGTGTTTGAAATCATGGCCGTTGAACTCTTTAACATTATGGGTGACTCCCATCTGCCAATTCTCAGACAGAGTGTGTACGACTCTTCACAGTGTGATCTCCTTCTACCATGCTCACCATCTCCACAATGTACCTCTCTCAAGCCTGTCTTTTCTGGGTATAGGGAAAAGTGTCTACTCACTCTGGCTAAAGAGAAGAGGGGAGGGGAATATACATAAGTAAATGAAGAACACAGGGGTCTGGCCAAATACACAAGCTTCTTAAAACAGAAAAAGCTGATCAGCACCCATGGAAAGAAAGGTTGTTTAGAACCCAAGGCAGCTCTCCACACTACAGGGTTGGCCAAAAGTTCATTTGGTTCTTTCCATGTGATGGCTCTAGCAGCATTTGGTTATCTTCAACTTCATCTCAAACAATTTTGTCAGACTGTATTGTGACAGCTGCCACATCAGTGTGCATTTAAAAAAACGGCTTCTCAAAATTGGTGGATTTTTGTGTAGCCATTTTAATATTGACGATGGAAGAAAATATGCAACCTTTTTGGCATATCATGCTGTATTGTTTCTAGACAGGTAAAAATGCAACTGAAATGCAAAGAAACATTTGTGCAGTGTATAGAAAAGGTGCTGTGACTGATCAAACGTGTCAAAAGTGGTTTGCGAAGTTTCGTGCTGGAGAGTTCTCACTGGATGATGCTCCACGGTTGGTCAGACCAGTTGAAGTTGATAGCGATCGAATAGAGACATTAATTGAGAACAATCAACATTATACCTTGCAGGATATAACCGACATACTCAAAATATCCAAATCAATAGTTATTGGTGAAAATGAAAAGTATGTCTTTTATTTTATGGGGGGAAAAAAACCCATACAGACTTTTGGCCAACCCAATACATTATATAAATTTAGTTGCTCTTCATTCCTACTTCAGGCAACCAACTGCCTAACTCACTGCAATACACATTTTCTACTTCATAGCTTCAGTTTACCTGTTTTGTTCTCCTGCTCTTTCTCAACCCAACCATGGCCTGCTGGAATTATCAGTCTAGTGGGGAAGAGATACTAGATGTGTTGTTTATATCTTATATGTATCTTTCATCCTCAGTGTTGTAGAACACCCTCACCTGCTCCCATAGTTTCAGCCATCACTACGTGCTGATGATGTGCAGATCAGTCATTCCAGACCAGATCTTTCTAAGCTCTAGGCCTTTATTTCCAACCAACTCAAATATGAAACTCAATCAGTCCAAAACAAGTCTAATCTTCCACTGTGCACCCACTATCCTCCCTCCCCACCAAGAAAAATTTTACTCTTCTTCTTATAATCCTGTTGCAGTGAGGGGTACCACCACCTACCCAAGTAGCCAGGCCAGGACCCCAGAACTCTGTCTCTTCCTGCTCCCCCATCCACATCTGATTCCCTCTATCTCCCACACGCATATAACTACCAGTCATGTCTATTCCACTTCGTTCAGTTTTCTCCAGCCATTCTCCCCTCTTCCAACCTTACAACCATTGTCTGATCATAACTGGCCTTTCTCCCTCCATTTCAAATCATTCTCCACACTGTTGCCAGGTTCACCCTTCAAATGCAACCCTCTACCGTGTCACTGCCCATCTCAAAATTCTTCAGTGGCTCCTCTGCCCACAAGATGCAGTCCGAACTCCTGACACCTGTGAACTGGCCCCTGCCCATCTCCCAGCCTCTTCTTTCTCCAATGGCTGATCCACACTCTACATTTCAGTCTTTGAACATAAGCAGACTGATGAATGTGCCATGCCCTTGTGCTCCGCAGCTTTGCCTAAAACCCTGAAATTCCTTTCCTCCACACATGGCCAAGAGTGAGCTTAGATATGGGAGTAAAACATTTAGGGTGGATCTCTACCTGCTTCTTCCTGGTGTACATTTTTAAACCTCATTAAGCCTCCATTTCTCATCTGTAAAATGGAGACAACGGCAGTGGCTACCTTAGTTACTACTGGATGAGACAGTCCATGCTAAAGCACTCAGTACAATTCTGAGCTCTAGTAAACATTTGGTGCATGTCATTTAGTAGTAGAGGGGTGTGTAGGAGTATGGATAATTCCAGTGTCCCTTCAAGACTCAACTCAGGCATTATTTTTATTGCCTCATGGTGAAACTCTGCAAAAAATCTGGACTAAGCACCTGGGGCTTTCTGTCACTTGTCCATCTATGCCACAGGCCATGCATTCCTAACATGTTTTAACTTATTCTTTGTTTCAAGAGTCTACCTTAGGGCCTAGCATACAGTAAGCTCCTAAGAAATGTTTGCTGAGAGAAGAAATTAATGAGATCAGTGTTTTAGAAAATAACACTTTAAATATTAGATTTCTTGCCTTAACATTTTTAACAAATGTGTTCGGAACTTTGGCATATATACTAAAGCTCTCCCCATAAACAAGAGAGGCTTGATAAACAGCTGTTTAGGACTAAAACATCTATTAAGACACAGGTTTCCTAATGGATAGAGTGATATAAAAACCATCATAAGTCTCAATAAACAACAGGGCCAAAGCCTATTTTAGAAGACTCCAGGAACATACTTTCGATGATCTTGTCTGAAGTCAATTGTGAGCTTCACCTCAGTCCACTGAAAGGTCAATATATCCTCTAAGTATGGCGATATTTACACCTAAAATACCTTGAGTTCATATCCATTATGTGCAGCTGATGCCTGAGTGTGGCTCAAAAAAGGGTTACCCTATAAGTTTTGCCACAGTCAGATCGCCATGACAGATGAAGGACGGAAAAAAGGCATAAAGTTCCAGGCAGCAATATGTTTACTCCCTGGTCCACAGAGAAGATGCTTATTACCCGGAACTATGGTTGGACTATGGACTCATACCTCCTGCTTTCCTCATCCCATCACCCCCAAACTGTTCAGGGAACCAACCTAAGGTTAGAAGGAGGGAGAAGGAATGAGAAAATTATTTTGACACTTATCTTTCCTGAATAGAAGTGCTAGATTGTCTGACGTGTTTGAAAACAATCACTGCATCTATCTGGTCCCTGGGAAGTGGGAAATAAGCATTTGGTCAGCACACATTTATGAAGTACTGAGTAAGTACGTCACACGTGCCACTCACAAGGCCTGACAACTCCTGCATTCTCCCCAGACCACATCTCACCTATTCCTTTGACTCACAGGGAATGAACTATGACAAGGAAAGTAGCCTTAGCCCTATAATGCCACCAGCTCATTCGAGCTTTGGCTAATGGGGGACATAAATCTGTCCAGCTCCTCTGCTAAGCTCCATCTGGTCAGGGCTTTGGTTCTTGGAAGCCAATGAAAGGTCTCAGTAGCTGAGCTGTGGTTTTGATGGCCAGCATTCTTTAGGCTGCTAAACTGTGTCTATATCGGCTTGTTGATTAGACTCAGAAAGTACTTTCCAAAGCCTTAAAATGCATTTTAAAAATCTTTGGAGCTACCCTGGCTGGTGTGGTTCAGTTGATTGGAACATCTTCCTGTAAACCAAATGGTGGCAGGTTTGCTTCCCAGCCAGGGCATATACACAGGTTGCAGGTTCAATTCCCAGTTGGGGCACATACCAGAAGACAACCAACAGATGCTTCTCTCACATGGTGTTTCTCTCTCTCTTTCTCTCCCTTCTTCCCTCTCTAAAGTAAAAAAAAAAGTCCTAGCAGAGGAATAAAAAAACAATTTTTAAAAAGTCTTTGGAGCCAACTCAGTCCAGAAGAATCCCCACAAAGGCCTGTATAAAAATAGACTCCTAAAAGTCTAATTGTACCATTAGTTCTACTATCAGGATGATCAAAGGCCTGTTTCTTGTTGCCACAGCCAGTCTTGACAAGCGGCTTAATGATTACTCTTACTGATCTCAATTCCCACCAAAGTATTTACTTTTACTTCTCATTCTTAAAAGTGTCACTGTTGTTACTGTGTATGAGTCACTTCATATGGTTCTGTATTCTATTCACTCACTGTTATGAATGCCTTATCTGAAGGGAGCCATCTTGCTGCTTATGCATAAAGCATGGGTCCTCTGGTCTGTATTTCTTAGATCTCCTGTACTATGCTTCACACAGATGGACAATCAGAAACTCATTGATGTTTTCTGAAGATGACAAAATGAGCCTACCCCAAAGTGGAGCTGCATTACTATGCCTGTCTCAGAAAAACATATTCCTGCATGGATGGGCCCTTTGCTCCTATTTGCATACTAATAGGAATCTAGTATCCACTAACAGACATCTAGTATAGGGAAGAGAGAATGCAATAGGTATAGCTTGGTACTGCCCAGCTCTGCTAATAACTGAGTATATGCTTCTGAATCAGACTTTTTATTTGTATTCTGAGCCAAAGTTTTATTATCTGTACAATGAGTGACTTGATCTAGGCTTTAATTCCATGAGAGTAGAGAACATGTTTACAGTCCCCAATATGTAGACTGATATGTGACACAAACTAAATGTTTACCTAATGAATAATTGTAAAAATACACAAATTACGATGGTTTTAATAATCTCTTTGGTTCTGACATTCTGTGATTCAATGACTTCTATCCCACTGTTGAGTGCCCAGATCAGACCCAATGCTGTCTACAGACGCTGAGGCTGACACTGTTAAATGTCAGTTCACACTGACATTCCCTTATTTGTGACATAAAAAGTATAGTGCTTATGACAATCTACTTCACTGGCAATCGGATTTTTTTTTTTTTTTCAAAATAACTACAGGTACTAGGTACTACTAGGTGCAGCAGACCACATTTTGGTGTTAAGGGTTTGGACAAGAGTTCTGGTGTCCAAAGCAAGACTTTTGAGTATTCATAAGACTCCTGAGATGGTAGCAACGTTTTGTGTGTTTGAGACTATGTACGTTTTCCTGGGGAGTGAGACTGTAGCAATCATCATATTCTCAGTTTGAAAAAGGATTTAAGAATCATTAAAAAAAAAAGTCAGGTCATTTATAAGAATTGGCCCAGGGCTCTCTGTGTGCAAAGAGCACCACCTCGAGATGCAGGTCCTTGCACAGCCCTTGGGGTGGAAGGCGGGAGGGTGGTGTTTGGCAGGAGGTACAAGAAGGGTCTAAGGAATCCTGAGAACTCCTGTATGGGCACGGCGGCCTCGTGTTTACCTGGCGCACCCCTGTAACTTCATTCCTCTCAGGCTCGCCCCCTCGGCCTCGGAGTCGTGAGCATCACCGTCCACTTCTTCATCTTCTTCGTCCCCATCGTCATCGTCGAACGGGAAGCTCTGGTGGCGGAGGGGAGACAACAGCGATGTGGTGGAATTGCTGCAGCTCAGCGGCGGAGATGGCGTGCTCACCAACACCGTCTCCAGCCCCTGCCCTCGGGCGTCCGCCACGAAGGTGGAGAAGGAGCCAGAGGAAGGCCGAGACCTGGCCCTGCAGCCAGCTGGGAACCGGGTGTCAAAAAGGGGCGAAGCAGCCCCCCAGCGCCCCGCCGCCCACATCAGGCCCGCCAAGTTCAAACCGGCGGAGCGGCGGCAGGGACGTGCACTCCCAGCAAGCCCCGCGCGCGCCGAGCCTGGCCTATCAGAGCCGGGACTGACCCTGAGTCGCCTTGGCGACGCGTGGACTCAGGGAAGGCTTTGTCCAGGCTTGTTGGGCGTGGCTTCCTGCGCTCGGGCCTCTCTAGTGCACTGCCCTTACACCACCTGGCCAGCCGCCCAGGTTAAGTCTGTGCTTCCGCTAGCTCGAAGGCCAGGTCCCGCTCCGCGCTGACAGCTTTAAGGGCCTGTCAGTTCACTTGTTACATGAAATATGCTGTCACTGAAGAAGGCAGATAGTTTTAAAGGGAAAAAGGCAAATGCCAATACTACCCCATATCATTACAAGGTCAAGAGTATAAGCATCAGTCGTGACTTATTTCAATACATGGCCACATTTTTTGATGGGAGGGTGGAGAACTTTACTCAAGTGTACAAGTGCGTTCAAGAATACTCTTTTAGGATAATTTTTCATTTTTTGGTTAGCACCTCATTTAACTGTATGCATGTGAAATTTGGGTACTGGATATAGTTGAGTAAAACCCGTGCACTTCCAAGTTTCTCATTTTCTTATGGTGAAAAATTATGCCACTGAAGTATTCTGTGATATGCATTTAATGAGGAAAGAAAAAAAATGTGGGACCTCAGAAGGAGCACTCAGAGATTGGGAATGGGGATGACATGATGACAAAGGAGAGGTGACAGACAGTAAAACTGGATGCTTATTTCATGCTGACAAAACTGTATACACTTGCAAATAAATATGGCTTTTGTCCATAACGCATAATTGCTCCAGAAATATCCCAAAGTGAAAAGTAAAACAGCACACAAAACTTGTTAGTAACCAAAGAGTGATACAAAACCTTTGAGGAAATTTCGATCGGCAACATTTGACAAAGGAGAATTAAATATGGTGGGAATAATAGCAACCCGGAGCAATTCAGAAGGCAGAAGCTATAATAAAATATAACATGATTAAACTATTCAAATGAATGCTAAATTTTGCTTAAATTTTCAGTAAAAACAATGAAAATGAAAGAGGAGCAACTTAAATGACTAATAAAACCACTCAAGGAATTAAACTTGCTTAATGGAGTTTTCATTCTCTACCCGTTATTCAATATCGGCATATTTGTTCAAACCTCTTATGAGAACATCTTTGGAATCAATAACAGCATTAAAAGGCCCTGGGCCACTTTAGAGCGTCAGAAGGAGGTAAACTTCAAAAGCTATTCCCAACAGACATAATCTGACATAACTGAAGCATAGTGGGGGAAAAACACAGGTTTTAGTGTGAAAGGGATCTGGGTTTGAATCTGTGGTTTCCCTTTACCAGCTTTCCTTAAAACAAGCTGTATGGCCTTCCCAAGTCCTTACTCCTCTGTATAATAGGGAGATAATCTACCTCCCAGCCAAATTTTATTCTCAAAGCTTCTAGCATAGGAACTGACAAGAGAAAATGGTAGATGGTAAAGTATGACACTTAAACTCCCAAGATTTTTCCACTTTACCTCTTGGTATGGAGATCTAAAGTGCCATACACTTCTCTGCCTCCTTAAAATGTTTTTACTCAACAAATTATGCCCTTTCCTGGATGCCTCAGAATCATCACAATGACCAACTATGGCAACGCTAGAGCGATGAGGCAGAGAGCCCCATGGCATGACACTGGTGCTTGAACATAATCGAGCCCTGTGGTCTCCTCCCTTACAGTGCCTTTTCATTACTGGGACCGAGAAGCCATAATCAAGTTTGGTAGGATTATATATAAATGTATAAATAAGCTGAAAAGAGGGCCTTTCCCTTTATGAGTTAGGGCATTGACTTAGTATCTTTGCTTCTTAGTACTCGTTTATTTTCAATTTCTTGGTATAGTTAATTTATATATATTTTTGCTGGCTTTGTAACCTGTAAGTGTGGTGACTTTTGCTTAAAAATCTCTATCTTGGTTACAAATATAACATTACCATTTAGCCCCATGGCAATATATTATGCAACTTAAAAAATTTATCCCTAGACAGACTGAAATATTTACAGGTGAAACAATATGATGTCTTAGATTTGTTTCAAAAGAATCTAAGGGCAAAGGGATCAGAAAGGGTTAGTGAATGGGATGAAAATGAAACAAAATTTACCATATATTGAGAACTGCCAAAGCTGGGTGGGCGATGGGTACTGGAGGTGAGGAGTGAGGGCTGAGGGGATGGGAAGAGGGGTAATTATACTATTCTCCTTTTTGTTATGGGAATTCCAAACCATACTTGTTTAAAAGAAACAAACAAACAAAAACTATGTCTCAAATTCAGAAGAACTGGGTTCTAATTTGCTGTGTGACTCAGGTATTCACTTACATTTCATTAAGCCCTCTAGTTCCTCATTTGTAACACAAGGGCTTGTTGACTATAAACATTGAGTTAGGAATTCCTAAGAATTTGGGCAATTAGTATTATGCAAGTTTTTTATAATTTGCTCTTAAATAAAAATCTAATTGGTGGTATTCTCTTAAATTTCCATTTGTTTTCCATGAACATGGTTCAGGCTTAGAATAAAATCTTCTAAATTTTAGCAGAGTATTCTTTTAACATTTCTTCTAACACTCTTTACTTAAGAATTAACAGTTTCACTTTACTCACTTTACCACTAAGCAAATTCAGTATACCTACTTATCTGTTAAGGCAAAGAGGATTGCTTTCTGAAAACATTTAATAATTCAGAACACTGCATATAATATTGTATTTCTGACCACATGTACAGCATGATTCACTATGTATTTAACGTATCTGCTATTCCATTTTTTAAAATGAATGCAAAGAAAGTGTCCAGTAACTTGAATTTTGAAGAAAAAGACTTTTAGCTAGGATCTTTTTTTACCAAGTTATGATTTAATATTTCTCAATGTGTAAATATACAAACATGATAGCAATTTTAAAAACTTGTGAATAGTTGGCCTTACAAAATTACAACACACTGTAAATATTTCCCTCCCACATTTTATACAAATTACATGATTTTGATATACAAAGATTCTGTTTTTATTACACTGACAATGTACAACCAAGACTATTTACAATGCAAAAAAGTATATAAACCACAATTTAACATTCTGCTACTGGCAGCCACTATAGTTTAGGAGGTAGCTTTAATTAAACGCAATGAACAGAAGCCACATTTCCCAACTTGTGTTCTAAAAATAATTTACATAAGATAAAAATTTATTATATGCACAGTATATACAGTTTAATTATTAAACTGCAACCTAGCTTAGTGTTTTTAGTATATCCTGAATAACTAATATGGCAGTGGGCCTGCTACTGATTTAGCATATTGTTCAAAAACATATTGAACATTTATAACTTTAAGACCCCCACATAGTGACATGTCAGAAGTCCATAGATGAGAATCAAGTAAAATTTTTCATTTTTAAAGACAAAGGCCTAAGCTTTATTCCTGTTTTATTCCTTTTTTTTTAATGACATATTTGTCTTATTTCACAAAAACACAGTATCTGAACTATTGGTGGACAGCCTCTTTTGAAAATTACAGTATGGGGTAAATGTATGGAAACTTCTATGAAATAGCATAATAAGTTCAGGAGAATCCAGCTTCCTAAGAAATAAATGTAAGTGCTTTGTGTCATAATTATTCCCAGTTTCTTTCAATTAAATGAAATTACTTACCGCAGTTTACTTTCTGTATAATTCAAACTAAGTAGATAACATACCAACAAAACTGGAAAATATCAGTAAAGCCAATGATATTAGGAAGTGTTTATTAATGGGACCATTACACAGAGTCATCTAATCCCTCAGACACTATGAAAATCCGGTATTAGTTAGTTTAGCCAAATCTACTAAACCCACACAGCAATTAGCCCTTTACTTTTTCTAGTAGTATGATTACAAAACACTGAGGGAAAAAATGACTGATCGCACCAAAGCAATGCAAAATGACTAAAAACAAATGTTCAGCTATTCTTTTAAAATCTAACAGTTGTTAATATTGTTTTAAAAACATCTTCAGGATTCAAGATTTACAAATCACTTCAAGAAAATGTATGATTCTATTATGTCAAAGATGGAAACAGAAAATGTAGTAACCTAATGCCTACATTTACTCTCACAGCCCCACCTGGGAGACGGTCCCTTTTTTGGCCCTGAAGTAAGTTGTCCTGAGATTAATGATCAAACATTAGGTGAAATTAGCAAGACTTCTTCTTTAGTTGCATGAAGTCACATTTCACAATATTCTTAAAAAAATATTAACAGCTGTTCTGTACCTTGTGCTTAATTCAGAAACAGGTAAAATTTTGCTTTTTATGGATCAAAAAAACCTAATGTTGTAATGTTAGGATATTCACAAAACCTTGTCACGTTACAGATTTGTTCCAAATAGACCACACATTGCTTGGACACTGCAGTTTTCACTGATTAATAGTTTAGGCACTTGTTCTTTGAAAATGTCTGGTTTAAGAAATAAACTGCCACCTTCTCCTTCTTCTAAGGGACACCTGGCAGTGATCACAGAAGTGCTTCCCAGATGAAAGATCAAACTAGGGTTTACTCTATAAACACTGTGATTTTGGTTGATGGGGGATACAGTCACACACACATTAATTCAGTCTTTAACTCTTGGTAGATTATACGCATAGCGCACCAGAGGGAATCCTCGACTCTGATAGAAGCAGGCTCGTCCACAGGCCTGCACCTGGTCCGAACTGTCCGAGACAAAGGAATCTTCTTCGTCTGCATAATCAGAGTGGGCTGACTGCGTGCCACAGTCGGACCAATAGCCGTCTGGTCTTTGGCAAGAACCCACTGCCAGCGCAGGACAGCTGTGTGACTTTATCAAGTGTTTGCATGACACTGGTTTTGTCAAGAGATATGATTCGCAGCAGTCACACACAGTCAGGTTACCCTGCAAATGTGAGTACATGCCACAGTCGTAGTAGAAATCCTGTTCCACACAACCAGTTTGGCTGCTGATGGAAACTGAAACCAATCCACTTTTCTTAGTAATATGTCGCTTCAGTAACTTCCAGTCTTCCTTAAACTTTGGGTTGAAAAAAACATACAGGACTGGGTTCAGGCAGGCAGGCAACGGGAAAAATATCAGAGTAACAGACTTCATTATTTCAGGGCTGATTGAGATGGCGGTGATCAACGGTGCAAAGGAGAAAAAGGCAACAGGGCAGAAAAAGATGCAGTTGGTGAAGATTAGCCAAGCAACATGCTTAATCATACCAGAATGCGAGTTCTCTGAAAGGTCCTCTTTTTCCAGATTGCAGTAAAGTTTAGTGTAAATAATGGCCATTAATAAAAACGCTAATGAGTTTAACAGCACTAAGGTTACAGTAAATCCTAACGACGGTGTTTCTCCGGTGGGAAAGGGCAAGCACAGGGGGGATGATGAGTATTCCCCTCCATGGAAAAGGGGGAAGCAGCCTGCCACTGCAGCCCCTACGAAAGCAAAAAGGGCAGCTACCCGGAACTGTCTGAGATGATTGCTTTTCCCATTTTTCATGATCTCTTTTGCAGATAAGCTTCTTTCGACAGCTGCTAACATTAATAAAAATATGGCACTTTCTGAGGAGAAAATGGCAAGAAACCCAGCTATTTTGCAGCCACTGCCAATCTCCCACCAAATGCCAAATTCAGCAAATCTGCCCCAAGACACAGCATCCAGAAAAGTTAAGATGCCGGTATAGGCTCCCATGAATAAGTTAGACACAGAAATCAGGCCGATGAACAATTTGGCGGAAGGCAGTGATGTACAAGGTGCGAATGTTGTTAAAATGACAAGCAGGTTGAAAACCAAGGCAACCAAGAAAATGAACCAGACAGTAAGACGGATCATCCAGCTTCCCAGTAAATATTCACAGGGCTTAAAAGCACCTACAATGAAAAAGAGAGAAAATAAAGAGAATTTAGAAGACATCATATTCTGCATGATATGGCTTAAGACACTCAAGACAGTTCATCTAGAATAATTAAATCTGCTACCAAACTGAATTAAACCAAACTGAAAAAGATCACTATTTTTAGTTTAGTCATTGCACTAGACTATTTTAAAAATAGCTAATTTTTAAAAATATTTGCTATATCCATATAGTGATGTGTAAAAGAAAAATCTCGCTTTTTCTTATATTCAGTTAATAGGCATAGCACAGCATCTGGTGAATACAAGGTACTTGATCTACTAAGAGCTGGGAATTGGATAAACTGGGGTTTGAATTTAAGGTTCATAACTTGCTGCTCTTTTTCATGAGAAAGCAATTTAAACCTCTCTAAATTTTATTTTCTCACTTGTGAATAATAATGCTCATTTCATAGAGCTGTATAACAAGTAAAATTATATACATAAGGTACTTAAGCAGGCTAATGAGTACATAGTTGGACTTCAATAAATATTAGGTCCTTTTCTTCTTCCTTCCTAGTATACTTAATAGTAATCATATATACATATATGTATATATATATATGTTACACGTTTCTTATGGTTTCAAAGGCAAGCAGATTAAGATAGACATCATTATCCCCATTTTTCATCTAGAGAAACTGAGATTTCAAATGTTCGATTGACCCGACAAAGGTTATTCAGTTAACTATTCATACAAAGCTGTATCTAATAAAACCCTGTGTAACTTAAAGTAGGATCACAAGAACTAATTTAGTAGTTGAGCTATACATTCCAGTAACTGACTTTGACATGCTGGTTATACACAAATGACACCTGTTTCATTTAAAAATCAGTAAAGAAAAACAAAATTTTGTCTGTAAACTACAAGAAAACGAACGATGTATTTCAATTGCCTAAAAGCAGTGTTCTGACTCACCTCCCTCAACTGTCATGAAGTTTAATACATCCTATAAAGCATTTTGATCATCGAGGTACTCACAAACCTAACAAACCAGGGCTGCACCATTTATATCTGGCTTCCAAATAACACAAGAAACTTGTAAAGCTTGTTTTTAATTAATCAGCTCATTTTTTAAATTCCCCCCTCAGGGAGGTGTTAGGAAGCTTGCACTGTATCCTTTATCTCCGTATCCCACATCCTCTTTCCGGAGAAATAGTTCAGCTGACCTGGGAGAACAGGACTCACTCACTGTGGGAAGTGTTTGACTACTGGGTAGAGTTCTGTCCCCTCATGAGCCTGGGAAGGAGACACCGCCCAGTCTCTGTCTTTGGAAACCTGTGACTTCCTCCACTTTTGGCTTCTGATTGTGCACCTAGGTCTCTTGAGTGGAGGAGATAGGCCTGCAGTTCATCTCTAGCACAGCTTGGGGAAAGGGGCTCAGACCTACTTTCCTCCTGGTTGACCCTGACATTTAAAATCAGCGTGAAGGAGATGGGACTTCAGCATGGTCAGGTCTAGCCTCCCCTTTAACAAAGCTGTCCCCTCTCATTGGGTTGTCAGTTTCTTAGGCACATTCACCACCACAAGAACCTGAGTGGGGCAAATGGTGAGCTGCACCCCTTAACTTCCAAAAATACAGAAACTAGATAAATTGCATAAAATAAGATTCTTGCCAATCTCATTTACTTATCTCACTTTAACCTTATTCTCTACACAAGGCACTGTGCTAAATATTAAAAGAAACATCTATAGCCCCTCAAGAAGCTCACAATTCAGTGGTAACTAGAGAATCATATGATTCTGAGTTATAAAATTAAATGTGCAGATCGACCTCTGTCAATACACTAAAAAAGGAATCTGCTTCACAGCATTCAGTTTAGCCAATTATTTAATTTTTTCTTTTACAGTAAAATTCAAAATCCACCTTTTCTGACAGATTAGTAAGAATATGATATTATGGTCACTGTGGTCATGTTAGTAACTTTCTCCATCTACTAAATTCAATAAAATAAAACAACAAAATGGGAAGGATACATAAAAAAAAATAACACTAAGAATCCTTACAGACCAGTAAGTAACTTATAGAACTAGCCCTAGTGTTAAAGGAGCATCAAGAAAGTGCCTCTCAACCTTTCATGTTCACAACTCTCATTTAGGGAGCTTGTTAACACAAACATTCTGATTCAGTGGGTCTGGACTGGAGATCCTGCAAGAGATGCCTAAGCTGCTTGTACACAGACCACACACTGAGTCAGCAGGCTTGATGAGATCATCTAGTCCCACCCCTATTACAGAAACCGCACCTATCCCCAGAAGTTTTAGATATGTTTGCCTAATGTCCACTTAAAGCAAGCAACTGCAGCAAAATCTGTCGGGCATACCTGTTGAGGGTGTACAGTGGATTATTACTTGACTGTGTTCTTCATTTTCAGCACTGCTAGTGACCCCTGCTGCATCAGCGGGACCTGAATATAAATCATAAATTGTGTTTTGAATTCTAGCTTTATGCAATTCAAAAGAACCCGAGTTTCCTACAACCTTCCCTCCTGTACATGATATAAGTTCAGGTTGTTATGAGGCTTGATGACATATTAAAGATGCCAGTAGCACAGTAAATGCCATTTTTTTCCCACAGATTTCCTACGGATCCCTCCCAAACTGAATCCATTAACAGAGACGTTGACTAAGGCCATAAAGAGTGTTCTATTTTACATGCACTTGCCTTTATCCTTTGCCACACTGTGTTCTTGGAGGCTCTTATCTTCTGGGTTTGAATGTGTGTAAGAGTCACAGCCCCAAAATGCACAGCACTGATAAGCATACGGCACAGATAAAGACCTGGAAAACAGTTGTGAAATCTACATTGAACTACGACTGCAGAGGTAGATATGCTTTTGTTTTATGCAAAGTAATTTAATCCCTGAAAGCCACAGCCAAGGAGTCAGATGCTTTAAGCTGGTCGGTATCCTCTCTGGGCCTCGGTTTCCTCACCTGTGAAAAAAACCTCAGGCATCCGTTGACACCACGAGTTTCTCCATTTACATTAAGATATGCTTCCAAAAACTGGATTTAAATCAATATTTAACGCTTAACAGCAAAACTACAATTGAAAGTAAAAAATGTATCAGACTCCTTTTATAAATGAACCACACCCGATTTTTCATAAGAAACTGGTGGTTTCATTTAAAATGAATGTCTCAAGTCATTTGTGACTTTATACCATTAAATGAATTTACTTTGTTTATATTTTTTAAGTATAATGGAAATATTTATCCTTCCCCACAATAATATTCCCAAGCCCTCTCTCTGTTATATCTAATGAGGTCCCTACTCTAACATTTCATGTCTCCATGAAGGATTATACCACTATACCAACTCTCTATGGGTTCACGCTTACATGGTTTCTGCCTTCTTGTTGCTAATGACAAATCCACTATGTAAAAAACCTTTCTGAGGAATATTCTCTCTTGGGCAGCATCAAGGGCTCCAATTCATGGTCTTAAGAACTACGAAATAATGTTCATGTTCTATTCTTTACCAAATCTGTGAGGATTTGGGTAGAAAACACTCTTAAATTATAGCCTCCCAGAAAATCTGGAAAGCATAGGGAGAAAAAAAAACCCAAAAAACTAGTATACTCTATAATTTGGGAGCTTACCACAACTTCAATAAAAAAGAAAAATAAGCAAAAACACACCTGAGATTAACAAAGTCTTTTGCTGCTAAAGCTTCTTTCAGCTGGAAGTTGCCCACAAGTTTCAGTTGATTTAGTCCATTCAGGCCTTCCGTAGGAAACGAAGTTAATTCATTGAAACTTACATCTCTAAAATGTGAATGAGACATCGAATTAACTCCTAAGTGCAAATCATGTAAAAACACCTGTATATGTGTTAATATCATAAACATTAGAGCTCCAAGAGGAAGTTTAGTTGTGTTAAATGATAGATCTAACATTCATTCATCTTGCCATATTATAGAAGCTGTTACTATATCAATGCAGCTCAGCATTTAGCCAAAGAGAAAAATATTGTGATAGGTCAATGCTACAACACAATTTCTGCATACTATTCAGTACTTTCCTAAGATTATTCCATAAAGTCATCAACTTACAGGTTAGTTATTGACCCAAGGTTGACAAAAGCTCTGTCATGAATTTCATGGATCAGGTTTCTACTCAGGTCTCTGCAAAGATAAGAATAACAATGTTAATCTTTCCAAATAAACTGAAATTACAGTTACTTTGACTACACTTTAGAGTCTGAGGGAGTCACAATATCCCTTATAACAAAGACCTTTAATCGTGTCCAACAACATTTTTATTTGTATATTGAAACTCTCTCTCTTCTCAAAAATCTCTTTCCTTGAATGTGCTCCATGTGGCAGTGATTCTACTTGGTATCTGTTGCAACACAGTTGTGAATTTTCTGCAACTTATCAATCTGGTACCAGTTCAAAAATATAAATGATATGATATAACCTTTGGTACTGTTAACTAGGTGAGGAAAAGCTCAGCTCCTGACAAAGCTGAAAATAAAAGCAGGTTTCATATTATTTGCCTTCTCAAAGGTTAGTGATAAGGCTCTGAGAGAAGACAAATAATCAATAAGCAAACAAGAGCATTCCAGAAGGGCCTCAGATAATCATTTTTCCCCCCTGAGCAGGAAATAAAAATCATAGCAACAGCAGAACCTACTATAGTGAGGAACACACCCTGAGAAATTCTGATATTACAGAAATAATAAAACAGAGAAATAATCTCCAACCACACTTAAACTGAGCCTTACTGGAAATGTAGAGGTTGGATAAATTCATTCTATGACACATCTCCTAGATAACAGGAGAACCAACAAACTTAGTTTCAAATCAAGAAAAGGCCAGTCTTTCATTGTTGTTGCTTATCAGTGCTCCAGAAGTGATGGCAGCTGGAGCCAGTCCCCTTCCTCCTGGCGCCCAGACCCACGAGAAGCCAGTCACGGACAGGGAAAGACCCAGCAACCCAACCACCAAGAAAATGGTTTCTAGTAGAATGCATTTTTCATTTCTTAATGGGGATCTTTTGAAAAAACAGGACTCAATGTAAGTTCAATTCACTGTCAATTTCTCAAATTTATTCTGCATTAAGAAAAATGCTCACCAATTTAGTGATTTGTGTTTTCTGCACTAAAGTTCCAGGAAGGCAATGACCATGTTTGTCTTAGTCACTTCTATAGTCCCAAGTGCTTAAGAATATAGTTGGCACAAATACACACTCCAATACACATGATTTTTAAAATGAATGCTTCTGCTGCATATAGGCTGTATTTGTCATGATAGACTCACCAGGGTAGGGGTCAACAAACTTCTTCTGTAGAAGGCTAGAGAGTAAATATTTTTCACCTCTGGGGCTCACATGGTCTCTACTGCAAATGTTCAACTCTTTATATTTTATTTTTTACATTTTGCAATATTGTTGTCAATATTTACAATATTGTTGCAACGGTATGGTGGAAATCAGGTTCAGACGATAAACAAAAGGGATGTGTATGACTCTGTGCCAACAAAACTTAATTTACAAAAACAGGAGACAGGCTGGGTCTGGCCCACAATTACAGTTTGCCAGCCATAGCCTAATGGGTTGGCAAACCTCATTATTATGACTTGAAAACAAACAGACTGCATCTCTCAGGTTATACACATTACTCTTTTTCATTTACCAAGGTACAATATCAGAAATGAGCTAAGGTAAAAAATACTGGAAAACCATTATCTGTAAAGTACCATGTGGTAAAGTTTAAACAACTATATTTACACATAACAAATCTTTAAGTGTATCTCTTAAAGTAAGAATTGTACTGATATATTTAATTTATAGCTTGACAAAAATTTTACTTCTCTCCAATAATCACAGAGAAACTTACAGTATCCTTAGGGATATGAGGCCTTGAAAAGTGCCTTCTTTGATTTGATGGATCTGATTACGTTGCAAAGAACTAGAAGAAGGAGAGGAAGAAAGAGGAGGAAGGGGGATGGGGGAGGGGGGAAGAGAAGGAGAGAAGATGGAAGAGGAGAGGAAAAGAAAGAAAAAATTATTTTCTATCTTGAAAAATGACATTTCTTAATTAAACTTTTTCTAAGTTTAAACACTCATTCCTAAGTACCATTGATTGATCTTGTTGAGAGTCAAGGAAACTACTATTTCCTTATCTATAAATTGAAATGGTTGGACTAACTGGTATTCCCTCCCAAATTAGACTGGGAGTGTACCACGTTATCTAAATTCCTTTATCAACGCTGCTCAGGAGTGAGAGCAGGAAGAGGACACAGTAAGAAAGGCTTTAAGACAACACCAGTCAATTACCTGGAGGAAGGTTAGAGCAAGGAGGGATCAAAAATGGGAAAATCAGTACCAGTCTCTCCCCACCTCCCCATCAGCGTCCCTTAGAGATGCCCCATGTAGGTACACAGGAAACACCATGTCTGGTTTCCCTCAACAGCCAGGACAAGTTTTGTTTGTTTGTTTTTAATTTTTTTTTACTATACCACCCTCCCTCCATAATGTCTCATAGAATGCGTGATAGGTAGATGTCTAGTAACTACTGCTTGCATGAACGCACTTGGTACAACTGGACATTTATTCATAAGAACAGCTTAATATATGGATCTCTAATTTATTAACATTAAAGCCCTTTATTCAAACTAGGAAATGCCCAATGGAATTAACAATACACCACAGCAAAAAGAATCAGTCAAAGAACAACTTACATTTCTTCCAGAGCGTGGCAACCGTTAAAGCTTGGAAGCTCTTTTATATTGTTGTAAGACAAGTCCCTTAAAACAGCGGAAATTAAAATTAAAGTTACATCATCAGAAAACTAAATCAAAAGAGCTATACTTAGAAGCACTGAGCAGTACTAAGTAATAAGGAGATACAGCTCAACGAGAAAAGCAACAATTTTTTTCTAAGACTTGTAAGCTTCTAAAGCACCCAAGTGATTACAAAGGGCTCAAGATTTGCAAACGTCAAATACATAATGTTGAGTACAGACAATATAAAATATATTTTAAAACATTAGGTATATAAAAATATAAAATTAAAAGTGTATGGAATGTATATAAAATTATGTTTAAGTGATAGTATTACGGGTTTTTAAATTTATCTTTTACAATATTGTTATTTCATTAAAAAGCTATATGAGAAGTGCACACTTTAAAAACAGTTATATTAAGTCAAATATCGGGACTAGTTAACTCTCAGTTAACCCCACAGCAGTTTTTCTCAGCTGTAATTATCATGTGTGATACTCCATGACACCATTTAATTACTTGCTTAATCAATGAGTCACTTATTTTGTTACTCTCTCTCTCCACTGAATACTTATTAACAACTTAGCAACTTAATTATTTGTTCTTGTGACACTTTTATATCCTTTATTTACTTTTATTTTCTCAGTCAGCTTCAAGTTTTTGGAAAGCTCCATGCTTAGTTGATTCCTGATCTAGGAAAGATTTGGGCTCTCCTTAGGCCAGGGGTGTCAAAGTCATTTTCACTGGGCGCCACATCAGCTTTGCGGTTGCCTTCAAAGGGCCGAAAGTAATTTTAGGACTGTATAAGTGTAACCACTCCTTAACTAGGGGCAAGGAGCCTGGAGCTGCCACTGGGTAGAAACAAGGTGGAAGGCCGGATAAACCAAAGTGGAGGGCTGGAGTCAGCCCACAGGCCTTGTATTTCACACCTGGGACTTAGGTCATGGATAATGGTAGGTTGTGGAGAGCTAACTCTCCTGGGGAAACTAGAATAAAAACAAGGAGTCAGGATAAGACAAAAAAAAAATCAAGAAGAACCTTGTTTGGTTTTAATTTGTTCAAAGTTAAGTCACAATATGTGTGATATATATTGATATATTCCCAATACTAAATTCAAATGCACACTGCCTACTCAGGGGCTATTAACATAATCACTCATTTCCATGAAGGGGATAAGAAATATTAAATAATTTTACTTTAAAATCATCCAACGCAAATAGTTCATTAGAAAGAAAACAACATGTATGAAGCACATAAAAGTATGAGAAGGGAAGAAGAATCCAACTTACAAAGTCCTCAGCATCTTTTGTTCTTGGCACAAATTACTGGATATACTGCTTATCTTCGTACCTGTCAAGGTCCTATGGAAAAACGTGGCTCATCTAAGAAATGACTTGAGGTGGTACACAAAATGCTATTCTCATACAGTAAAACAATGCTCACATATTTGCATGCGAAGTCTATGTACCCCACTGTCAGATTACTCCCTAAAGTTAGGCATGTAGGAAAATCAATTAACCCTCCATGCTGTTATCATTTGCATAGTAATGCAAAAAGCTCATTGACACTAGATGTTAATATTGCCCAAACAACAAGCTTGAGTTCTCACAAAGACCAGCAAAAAAACACTAATACATAGTCATAGCCTGACCACAAGCAGCTGCAAGTTCTGTCACGCCCTCTGCACCCCCAAAACATTTGAAACCAACTTGGCATCCCATCCCCAAACCTTGTTTCTGTCTTTTCTTTCCATCAACCTGACTTAACAGTCTCAAATTTTCTCTTACTTCCTCACTTTCTCTGTTCCCATTTGCAGTCAATCACCAATTCCTATTCTTTCTTCCTTGGTCGTGTCTCCAGCTTCTGACCCTCCATCTCCATTTTTACTGCTACAAGGCAGATCAGAGGGGAGAAGGTGCAGAAAGGGGTGGAGGAATCTCAGGCGGCAGGGAGAGCTTCAGTGATGGATTGCAGCCCGAACTCTCGTGGTTCAATGTTCACTGAGCCAAGTGGATCATTCCCACGGACTCCTCACTGTTCTTCCTATCTCTAGTCTTCCTTATCCTTCTCGCACCCCCTGCTCCATCATTCTCAACACCTCCAATTGCCTTAAGAGTCAAGGTTAAACTCCTTAGTTCAGCGTTCCCAACTTCTTTCCTACATCTTGGCACACAGGAAAATCAAAACATTGATGTGACACAATGTGGCTGGAGATTGAGCACCTCAGGCCCCATATGGCTGCCTTGAGGGCTTAAGTCATCAAGATTTTAGATGCACATGCCACCCATTTACAGACCATCCATTAGGAAGCTTAGCCAAAGCCAAATGTTCAATGTTCAAGATTTGCCATTTCAAAATTGTGACCCAAACAATTTCCCAAATTTCTCTATATCACTCCTCATTCAATTCTAGCTATATTTGATCATCTGTACACCATCCTTTTACTAAATCCTGCCTTTCTAAATAAAAGACCCAGCTCTGGGAAACCTGCCAGTATTTCATTTTGAAGCATTTCACCTCCTCCATGAAGCCTTCTATGATAACCTACATGGATTGCTCCACTTCTGAATTCCTAGAGCACTGCTACTAATTTGGCACTTGACGAATGCCTTATATTTTCAGGGACCTCTTCAGATCTGATCTCCACACACTAGGCAATACTCTACCTGAGCTGAGTGACCCCTGACCCCTATGTCTAGCTCCATGCATGATATTCATAACAGGAGACTGCAGGAATCGAAGACTTCATCATCACCCACACGCCCTGGCACACTGCTAGCAGGCCAGCGTGTCACCTCGGCACAACCCCTCTGCAAAGGGCCACACTTACAGACTCTCCAGGTGGACAGTCCCAGTCAGATTGGGGAACTGCTGAACCATGCTGGCACCTCGGATGACCCTTGAAGCAATTGGGAGAGAAGAGCTAATTTAAAATAAAATCTTCATGGATAATATTTGCATTTTATATTTTAAAATTTAAAATCATATTACTACAAGACCTCAAAAATAAAATTGCTTTCATCTCTTGAATGTACTTGAAAGTGTGATAACTTGGCCAAATGTTCACATAAATGAAAACTCTCACAAAATGTCAGAACTATCCTTTGGATTTGAGCTCCAATAAAAGAAACCAGAAGATTTTGTTTTCTGGAGTTACAATAATAAAGTCCAGTTTCCCACAAAGCAACTGTATAAATATTCAGGTTCATTTTAAAATTTAAGTAATACTTACAAGGAATGTAGATCAGATAAATTGTGAAATGCTGAGTTCCCCACAAAAGATAGAGGATTATCATACAAATGTCTGTAAAAATAGCAAAAAACACACAACAGTTTTAATATGTTCACAAGCACTCCAAAACTAAGTCTACATTAAAAAAATTCATACATCTAAAAGCCTGAACTTCTATCCTCCACCCAGATGTTTGGCTGGCAGCACACAGACAGAGCTGTGTCCATGATTACATATTAGAAGAAACTTTCAAAACTACTTACATAGTTCTTAAGAGTGGATTACCATCAAATGCTCCATCAGGGATAACAGAAATAGAATTACTATGAAATAACCTAAAAAGATAGGAGGAAAATACTTTGAAATACATACACCCTTGTAAAATAAGTTAAAACCCAGGTATCTACTCCTATGCAGTATTATAGAGCATACAACTGATAATAACTGCACGAAAACTTCAAAAATGTAGAGGAACTGCATTTTTTAATCCATCTCATCTTCAGGATAATTCATTTTAAACCCACTGCTTAGCCTACTATCAATCAGGTCCCTCATATACACTTAGCTGTACCTTCATCATCAAAGAACTTCAGACCACAAGAATCATAGCATGTCCTGACCTCAAAATCTCTCTCACTATCTCCTGCATTTATTCTTTAAGCAATCCATCAGAGTAGTCTGTCAGCTCATGACACACGATCGCTGTTATGCCACATACATTCCTATCTCTGCCTTTGACAAATCCAACCTCTAAACGGCTCCCCTATTCTTTCATTTAAATATTTCTATCCTTCCAAGTCCAGTCCAATTTCTTCTCTTTAGTGATGCCTTTTCCAATGACCTCAGCCTCAATGAAGTCTTTTTTTCCAGAATGATTTCTGTCTCCTCTTCATTCAGTGGTTATTTCTACCTGGAAACTGCAGTCTGTCTTCCACGGTCAGCCTCCCCCATGAGACTAAGACAATGAGTTCCCACACGGCCCAGACCACGTGTCACAGCTTTTGTTTCACCGCAGTCCAGCTCTCACTGGTCATCTGTGCTCAGGGTCATCTGTGCTCAGTCGTCCTCGCCAGCTAACACATTCCAGTCTGTATGATCGTGTGGGTTTGTGTGTGTGTGCGTGGTGTGCGTAATGGAACAAAGATGTTTTTAAAACCTCATTGTTGGGACATTTGTGAGTTCTACAGGCATTAAGGAACAAAGAAAGCAAAACAATACTCACAGCTCTTTTAGGCTAGGAAGGGCTTTAATAGCCTGAGGAAATTCCCCCAAATTATTGTAATTCAAGTCCCTAGAGGGGAAAAATGGGCAAAATACATAAGAATATTAAAGAGTGGTCATTATTTATAAGACATTTTGGTATAAATGTATTTTTTAAATATCACATTCTCTGGACGATAATCTTTCTTTACCAACTCTATCACCATTCAAAATCCTATAGGAGTTTAATTGAATTTACATGCTAGAGTACTGAACAGGAAAAAAATCATAATTCTCCAATGATGTTTTTAGGTCAGTTTTGAAAGTTCAAAGAATTCTCAGAATCCTATTACTGGTGCATTAAATAAATTACCTAAATGTCATTTCTCAAGATAGTCATCATAAAACAGAATTTATTAAATTATCCATTTATAAGTGACAATAGCCTGCAACTGAGGTTTCCACCTGGGATTTAGAGTGGCTTCCTGAAATTCTGCCCCGAGGGCGGCTGACCTCAGCCCAACCACCATCAGCAAGATGACCCACGGGACGCACAAAGAAGGAGAAGAACCAGGGTGAGTTCACATAACTATTGTCCTCTAGTAGAGTACCAACTGTTGGAAATGATCCATTAATTGGGAGAGAGAAATGCCACAGTGAAATGTACTAAAAATCTCCATTTTGAATATGTTGAAATTTTAATTCTTTTAACCTAAAGAGCATGTTGGAATATGATTAGTAGGGTGATTTCAGACTGAGAGTAAAACAAATATCAAATGCCCAGCTCCTTAGAGACCTAGTTCATCTTCCTTTTTTACACAGAACAAATTGGCAAGTAAAAACTTAACCAGGAAGAAGAGGTTCAACTATAATATAATTGGAATGGTATATACATGGTCTAGGATCAGAAGACCCATTCAGTCTCCTGTTATACTCATTATTTACATAGAGAAGGGAAACTGAGTTTGTATCTGTCTTCTTCAAGAGCTTCAGTTTTCAAATACCCATTAATATGCATCATCCTTTAGTTGTTCAGGAAGGGAAGTGGATTAACAGAGTACTAAAGGTCTTCTCATTAACTGAGAGTTAACTAGAAAATTCAGTTAAATGAAATACTACAAACCCTAAGCATTTCAATCAGATGTCACTCACCTATCTAATCGGGACATATTCTGAATCAGTTAGTTCACCACAGCAGCAAATATTACAAATCTCCAAGTAAAAGCAACTAATATAAACTAAAACACCAAAAATCCAGACTCTACTCTGCCAGACTCTACTCTCGATTACATACGGGCGCACAATGTTTTTTGCTCAGAATGTTGCAATATACAGTTGTAACAGCCAGAACTCCCAAAAACTTCAACAAGTAGAAACAACAAAAGTATCCTAGGCAAAATGGAAAACTTCATCATATTTAGCATATGAAAACAGAGATTATATTGAATCTCAGTGTCAACAATTGACCAGGCAACTGAGTTCAAGGAAAAAACACACAAAAACCTTTTTCCAGAATTAGTCTGATGAGGCTCAAAATCCCATAATTATCTATCATACATTTTAACAAAACCAAAAATTTCAGAAAGATAATACAGTTTAGTAGACCAAGCTGCTTTTAACATGTACTTTTGTTAAGTAATATCAAGTTCAAACTTGTGTGCCATTTTTAACCATAAACTCAGATTAGTATTCATAACTCCTATTTGATGGCAAGAATTTAGTCATATATCAAAGCAAATTGGTAATGAGCTGAACTCGAGACCTTTATTTTCTTCTTCTCCTACAATGAAATGCAAAACTGCACCCTCAACATCACAATGTAGACATCCAAATATGAATAAACTTACAAGGTCTCCAGGTTATCTAGTCCATCAAAACAGTGTCGACCCAGGCTTTTAATTTTATTGTTATGAAGATGCCTATGGCAAAAAAAAAAAACACATTAAAATGACTTTTAGATTACCCAAGAGCAACGATTACAATGTTTTATATGCCTAAGTTTATATGGCTTAGAGAAACAGTATAGCAACAGACTGACAGCTGTTAGGGGGAGGGGGTTGGGGGTGGCAGGTGAAAAAGGTGAAGAGAATGAGAAAAAAGAAAAAAAATCATAGACACAGACTACAGTACGGTGATTACCAGAGAGAAAGGGGGTGGGGACAGTACAAGAGGGTACAGGGGATAAATGGTAGCAGGAGGAGACTTGACTTTGGGTGGTGAACACACAGTACAACACACAAGTGATACAATATAGAACCGTACACCTGAATCCTATGTAAGTTATTAAGCAATGTCACCCCAATAAATGCAATAAATTTTTTAAATAAAGAAATAATATAGTTAAACATTTCAACACTTGACTAATGAAAAACAAATAGCACTGGACAGTTATCTTGATATACACTTCACAGACTCAGGTTCATGGCACCGAATACCAGTGAGGGGGGATATCTTGGGCAGGAAAAGGGTACACACATTAAAGATCCCTTAACATTCACCCCTGTCAGAACAAAAGCTTTGAGGAGCTTTTAATTTTAAGAAGTGAAATTTAGATGAGTTCTCCTTTGGGGAGGTGGGGGGAGTGACATGGAAGAAAGCAGGTTGGCTTACATCAAGAACTGGTAACAAACCCTGGCTGGCGTAGCTCAGTGGATTGAGCGCGGGCTGCAAACCAAAGTGGCGCAGGTTCAATTCCCAGTCAGGGTACATGCCTGGGTTGCAGGCCATGATCCCCAGCAACCATACATTGACGTTTCTCTCTCTTTCTCTATCTCCCTCCCTTCCCTCTCTAAAAATAAATAAATTAAATTAAAAAAATAATTAAATTAAAAAAATCTATAGGGTTAAAAAAAAAAGAACTGGTAACAGAGTTTAAAAGAAATGCCATTTTATTACGTCCAAGTTTTCAAAGCTTAAAAATCACAAAAAAAAATACTGTTTGAATAGACAAGTTGGTAAAAATATAAAATATCACTGGAAATCTTCTATGAACATCTCAAAACATGTCCGCTTCTTAAAACATTGAATATTTCACTGAGACATAGAAGTAAAAGCTATACAAGTGTTTGTTGAATGACCCAATTTCTTCGCATGATTACAAACACCCACATATCTTAGAGAGAGTCAACAGTTATCATCAGATGTTATGGTAATTTAAAAAATCATCCTAGTTTGTATTTTTAAAAGTCATCATGTTTGATATTATAAAGACAGCTCCACCAAACCCTTGCTCTTTAGAAGCATAATTAGTAAGATACTTTCATAATAATTTGTCACAAGAAACCTGTTTTTGCTCCCAAATTAAGATAAATATGTGTTATTAAATGGGGTAGATACTTACAGAACCACCAAGCTTGACAGGTTGGTAAATGCGAAGTCGGGGATGCTCGAGATTCTGTTGAGGGCCAAGGTCAGCGCCTGCAGAGCTGGCAGGTTGCTGAGGGGATGCACGGGCACCTCCATCAGACTGTTGTCGTCCAGCCACAGGTGTCGTAGCTGAGCAAGCCCCTCGAAACTGTCCTCAGGGACGGAGGTTATGTGGTTGGCATCTAAACGCCTGATGGCAACAGAAACAATGAAGAAATGACTCTAAATCTGAATCCTTTAAGAATCTCTGGCTAGAAGTAACTTAAGAGCAGAAAGATTAAAAAAAAAACAAAACCCTCACAAACCTTAATTAAGTTGGAATTGCATGTTTCAGAATATATCAAAAAATACAAAAAAACAGTAAGAAACTAAGATGAGCAAGTAAAGCTACTTATAATTTTACATCATAACTAATACTTGACATTAAATTTAAGTATTATTCTGACTTGGTATCAAAGGGAAAAAATTATAACTGTTAGAATAATCACTTTTTAACACAAAAACAACCTGGTATTAATATCATAAGGGACAGTATGTGTTCAGCAAATCACAACTTTCTTCACAATCCCTTGTTGATCTGTTTTCACTACTTAAAGTCACACCAAGGCTTGGATCTCTTGGTGAAAATTAGGGAACCACTACAACAACAAACACCTGGTGAAAAGTCACAAAGACAGCACATTTTAAAAGAAACTGAGCGACAGCCCTGGCCGGGTGGCTCCACTGGCTGCAGCATCATCCCACACACCAAAGGGTTTCAGTTCAGTACCCAGTAGGGCCATGTATGCCAGCCACCAATCAGTATTTCTCTCTCTCATGCTCTCTCTCTCCCCCTCTCTCTAATAACATATCAGGAGAGGGTATGCCATTTATGAGAGGAGAGGATTAAAAAAAAAAAGAAATTGAGTGTGACAGCTTTCTAGTTCAGGAAATTCTGATGTTTAGAGTAGTTTGTGTGCCTCCTGTTTCCTTCTGCTGCTCTGGCTTTGAATCCTGCCGTAACTGTCCCGTTTTCCTCCAGTTGAGTGCTGCTCCCAGCTAACCAACTGCCTGGGCCCCACACACAGTCTCCTTCCCCAGGGCAGACCGATGAGCAGGGATTGGAGACCCCTGGTCCCGGGGAGGGTCAGATGGAAGCTTTCTTTTTGGTCAAGTCAAAACTGAAGGGCCCTGGAAATGGCAGAACTCATGAAACTGAGCAGCTGCCTTAAGAATCCACTTAGAAACAAACATTTTTAGGCTTTCTGGGGCTTTCTAGAACCGACTCCTGAGAAGAGACAGGCATCCTTTACATAACAAACTGGCAAACTCCTGGCCATGGAACTGCTTAGGAGATTTCTTTAATGAGGAGATAGGAGTATGTTTAATCAGACAGACACACACACACACACACACACACACACACACACACACTCTTCACAACTTCAAGGAACTGCCACTTAAGGAGAGACACTGAACATATATAATCATATTTAACCATATACTGTAACTAAATAGTCAGTGCAATTAAATTCTACTTGTAGCTAATTTAACTCTCTGCAGTTCATTAAACACATTTACACGGAGCATCTTGTGAGGTGCAAAAGACGAATGGGGCAGCCTGTCCCCAGGACTCTGACATTCTACTGGGGGTGATACACAATGCGATGATTTAAAAAGTGATTATAGAGTGCTTAAAAAAGTGCTATGAAATAAATTAAAACAGGATACTGAGATAACAGATTAATAGGCATTCAGGAGGAAGGGTTCAGAGAAAGAGCAAGAGGGTGTAAGAACAAGTGGCAGAAAGAGTTGGGCAAGGAGGCAAAGGAGTGTCAAGGGCAGACTCATTAGCAGGAATGAGCTGGGTGCGGCCCCAGCGTCTCCCAGAAGGTCACGGTGATCAGTACATGAGAGGAAGGGAGTGGAGGGCCCATCCACAGAGACACAGAGGGGAATACAAACAGGGGGACCTGATTATGTGGACCCCTGTGGGCCAGGTAAGGGGTCTGGATTGTATTTTACATTGAAATTCAAGTTCTTCCCTAGTTTCTCATGTTACAGAAGTTTAAAAGTTAAAATTCTTATGTTATAAAATTGATGATAACATGCATGTATATCCAACAAAATACTTCTTCCCCCCATATACACACAGAAATCCTCATTTAAATGGTTTGTTAAAATGTGGTAAAATACCCTAACAAGGAAAGCTGTCACTACCTTTTTAAGTGAAGACCAGTATTACATACACCACTCATGCTCCTGCGGAATTCTGTGCCCTACACCATCCAAGAAAGGGACGGCCCTTACCTGCAGCAAGGTAACCAGGTATGTTTTGAGCTAAGACAGTAATGAAATTCTATTCTGGGCAAAATAATAATACTATATTAAACACGGAGACACACTTCCCTCTGTGCTAAAAACTTCCCAACACTGTAAGACTCACACATAAGTTGAGATCAAAGGGAAGAAGAACTTTGGAAAATGAAATCCTTAAATAAGAAGTTAAATGAGAAAAAGAATTTGTGGTGACTCAAATGATTAATCCTTACACCTCAATTCACCTGTGGGTGTCAGAGGCACACCCATAAATATAAAGAATTGCACTTACACTGCGATTAATGTTCCACAGAGAGTTCATCTTACAGCTATGGCTTTGTACCAGTGACCTACGTTATTAATATTTATCCCAAAAGACAAAGAAAATACTGCAATCAATTCATTTAGTAGATACAATAAATGGCATCAGATAGCTCCCAAATAGGAGATAACAAGGGCTCAGTTACGGTATTCTATTTTTTAAACTCCATACCACTATTATTTTATTTTAGTGTGTTTTAGTTGTTAAAAGGTTAACAGTGTATTAAGTGAATTCCTTTACTATTTGTCTTTAAAACATGCATTTATTCCCTATTCTCAAAACCCTTTTTCCATCTCATTGAGACTCACATACTTTCTTTATGTTGCCTTTAAATGAAACTGCAAAACTAAAGAATTTGGCATATGATAAATGTCAGTAAATACCTATTCTTTGTAATCAAAAGCTCTTCCTTTTCTCTCTACTTGTAACTTACCAATAATGTAAATATTATAGTATTACATTTTGTTACCAGATTCTAGTTTGAAATAGTTAAGATAGTCTGTTGTGGTGGAGAACTGAGAAAACTTAGCCTTTGAAATACTGTCTTATTCAATATGAGTGTGATCCAATGGAAAGAAAAAAAAAATCTAGTGGGGCAAATTCTGACACGTCATTTAAATATCCTGCTCAGGCAATGCTTTAGCCACTCACTGTCATGACTCTGCGGAAGGCTGTTAATGCTCCCTCTTCATTAATATCTACGACTTGCTTAAAGATTTATAGTCATCATCACACACTTGCATCAAACCACTTCTGTTCAATTTCAACCCCTAATGAACTTTGCTCCTTTTAAAGCACTACTTCAAAACCACAAGGAAATCTTTCGTGTAATTCGGGTCTGAAGATCAGATTTTCAAACTGACTCAAGTGCTGATAAGACTGTTTTACACCACCACAGAATTTCAATTGTAGCTACCCTGACCACTACACCCACTATGCTAACAAACCCATGAACATTTCCTTCTCAAATAAAACAGGCCTGACACATGACTCCTTGTGTTTCTGATACATGTAAAAATATCCTGATCCCTTAAAAAAAAAACTGACTCCTCTCCTCACTTCTACCCTCCACCCCAATTCTGGACATAATTTAAATTATGCAACTCACTCAAAGAATGATGCTTGTTTAAAACACTATTTTAAACAGAAACCAATGATTTCCATGGAAAACACTTTAAATCATCTAAATTAACAATAAATGTTATGTATACTATAGTATACTTACTGACCACAAATTAAAAAGAATCTATTTGTATGGGGGTGGGGGGATTTGGGTGATGTTCCTGGTCTAAAGATCAAAGATATTAGTTTTCTCTTCTTTAGCCTCCAAAGAAGACAAAAATGACGGAATATTTGGGTTATTAAGTTTTGTGAAATAAGAACCCAAATTATGTATGAAGGTCTTAAGGTAAAATGGATTCTGAAGAAGCAAAAGAAAATAAGGAACTATTTAAACTGGCTAGTGAATGCGGGTCCGAGGTGGGACAGACAGCGCTCTCTGCGGACACTGTCCCGGGCTGCACACGTGCAGAGATGGCAAAGTTGCATTTCTGTGAAGGAATTCCTTCCACTCACTTCCCTGAAAGTCTACTCAGAATCTCCTCAATTAGCTACGGTGAATAACAAATCCTCACATTCCCAAACCTGGCATTTTGGTAAAATGAGCTACTTACTATGTATTTCTACCTTAAACTACTATTTAAAGTAGACATTAAATGACCAATACCCCAGACACTCCTTTTTTATGACATTAGATACCTTGTAAAGTTTAACTGCTACAGCATTAGATACATTGTAAAGTTTAACTGTTACTTATTTTTATTTTCACATTCACTTTCCATGAACCAGTAGAACATCTAATCTAAAATCAAAAGGTAATCTATAATTTACCCTTCCCAGTGATGTCTTTTGGATGTGATTAAAAATGGTTTTATATCAGCAAGTGGACGGGACAAATAGAAAAACTCCATCACTTTCACCTAAGTGAAACTCACATTCTATAACTCACACTTCCTACAAAAACTGCCATTTATGGTTACTATAAAGGGCAATCAATTAAAATAACTAAGGAACAGATTAGTATATAATACATGATGGGGTTAAAACCTAATTTTATAACACATAAATGTGATAACTCATAGTTTTTTATTTGGAGTGAATCTCAAAACTTCTGTGAACATAACAATTACTGGGGCAAATTTTTTGAAATATAGCTTCCTGGATCCTACCTTTAAAGAGAAAATATTATTACTTTTAGGATACGGCCTAGGAATCTGTATTTTAGAGACAGTTTTCCCCAGTGATGTTGTTGCAGGTCGTCAAAGAGCCATACTTCAGCCCTGGCTGGTGTAGCTCGGTGGATTGAGTGCAGGCTGCGAACCAAAGTGTTGCAGGTTCGATTCCCAGTCAGGGTACATGCCTGGGTTGCAGGCCATGACCCCCAGCAGCTGCACATTGGTGTTTCTCTCTCTCTATCTCCATCTCCCTCCCTTCCCTCTCTGAAAAAATAAACAAAATCTTCTTTTTTTAAAAAAAGAGCCATATTTCGAGAAACTATGCCCTAGTCTCACTGTATTTAGCGTTAGGGCATGAACTCAAACAGTGCACATTTGTATTTGTGATTCTAGTAGAATAATAAGCTAACAAAAGCCCTTGTTTTGAAGAATACTTTTTCATTACTTTCAAAGACTTTCCCTTCACCTAGGTAAGCAAATTGGGTAAACTAGAAATGAAAGGAGAAAACTAGTAACAAATATCATCATTATTCTATATATATATTTTTAAAGATTTTATTTATTTATTTTTAGAGAGGGAAGGGAGGGAGAAAGAGAGAGAGAGAAACATCAATGTGCAGTTGCTGGGGGCCGTGGCCTGCAACCCAGGCATGTGCCCTGACTGGGAATCGAACTTGAGATGCCTGGTTCATAGCCCACACTCAATCCACTGAGCTACGCCAGCCAGGGCCTATCATTATTAATATTAAGCAATTCCTCAAAGTTTATTGAGCACTTTCTACCTGTCAAGTATTGTCACAAGATCTTTTCATGCATTAATGAGCAAACTTCTACATGGAGAATTTTAAATAACCTGCCTAATATCACACTACCAGTAAATAGCAAAGGGGGGGGATTCAAAACCAAACAGAACTCTAATAAATCTGAACTTACTTGAATTTCTTTTTGAAAGTAATGTAAACATTGTGATAGATAAATATGCAAAGGGCTTTTCTTAATCTTGGCAAAAGTAAAATTCTAATAAGCACATGCTTCAGTTGAGTGCTTCTCACCCTCTTCCTTTCAAGTGCTGCACAGGCAGAGCAGCCCTAACACTAGTCCGTGACATGCCTTCTAGTCAACCACAGAGATCCGGTTATTTAGCGCAGAAACAGTCGTTTCTCCAAAACCCTCCATGGATTTGCGGGGCCCCTACAACACCACACTGCTTGCCTGCCCGCCCTCTAGAAGCAGAAAGGGGATGTGCACACCCAAACCATAGCAACCACAATCCCCCAGGCTCATGTACGTGCACACGCACATATACCTGGAAAGAATCCAAAAAGGAACCAAGTGAAGTGCTGTAGGAAAAAGCTGTGGAAATTAGTGGCTGAATGCGGTAAAAACCAAGAGCTAAAATCTTGAACACTCCACCTAAAACCAATCTTTCCTCCAAAAGAAAGACCTGGGGAGAAGGCAGCACAGGCCATTGAGTTAAGTTTACGCTACCAATGCATGTTCAGTGTCCACAGATAAGGAACTCCAACCCATGTGCTCTGACCATCACTGCCACCTGAAGCTGACACCTCTCTGTAGCTGTTTCCTGGCTGTCATGGCACAAGACATTGGAACTTCTGCACACACATAACTCTGGTTCCAAAGAGGCGATGACCACCTGCCATGCACAGGCTTGGGAAGTACACCCAGCACTGCATACCTGTAGCGTCTCCCGCTCCTGAGAACTGAATAGGAAAATCAAACCACCTCTTTCTCCTTCGCCAAAGGATATTTCCATAACAGCAACTGGCCATCCCCATTTTTATCCCAGATGTGAAGATAAACCTCCCCTTTTCCCTGGAATTCCAGCTCTTTACACGTGGAGCAGACAGATGGTCTAATGATTCAAGAATGCAGAAAACCAAAAAGTTACTTACAAAGACTGCAAAGCACTCAGCCCTCGAATGGCTTCACTGGGTACTGTTTTCAACTGGTTGTTTTGGAGGGTTCTGGAAGGAAATTTTTGGTTAGTGAATAAGCAATTGTTACCATTTTTTCTTAGAAGAATCCAGTCATATCTTTCCAAAAAAAATTTTTCCCCATTGGCAGGAGAGGGGAGAGGTCAAGGTGGAAAGCGTCCCAAACAAGACAATTGTAAAAGAGCAAGAAACATTTGTCATAAAGCCAGAATGAAACCCAAGTCATCTCCGAACACAGACCTGCTTGCTGGGTGATCTACATTTCCAGGGGCTGTTCACTCTCAGGAATTAAGGCACCCTAATTAACCTTCATCACCCTAGTTAATGTTAACTGGGAGGTACAACAAGTTAACCGGGAGGAATAGTAGCCAGCCCACTGGAATCCCTAAGGCCTTTTCACATTGAAATAAAGCAGAGCCCAGAAACATGGACTTCAGGTAAAGCCAATTGTGCCAAGCAGGTGGGAGACCCTGAGTGCTACGGGGCAGCGGTCACGTCCTCAGTGAATGCAGCTCCAGGGCAGAAACAGGGCTCTAGTCACCTACGAGTTGGGGCCTGGAGCCTGAAGGCATAGGTCAAAGCCAAAATTGAAGGTCCTGTAGTTTTTGCCTAAAGCCATCTCTAGTCACATTAATAAAATAACTGTGGACGTGAGTCATAACCACAGAATGGGGTGGGGAAAGGCCCACCTAGCTCACTGAACCAGAGAGGTTTAGTGACCTGCAGACGGTCACCCAGCAAGGTAGTGGCAGAAGTGGGGCTGGCAGTCAGGTCACCTGTTGCCCAATCTGCCACTCTCCCCACTCCTGACCACCGCCAGGAATTTATGTCCTAACCCCTCACAAGCTACGGAAGTCAGGAGCCTCTCAATGCCTTCAGCTCTAAAATGACTTTAACATTTGCAACTCCAGAAGGCTTTTTCCCTTTAGGGTCAGCTAATTCAACGTCCTTGTAGCTATAAAATATGTAGAAACAAGACCCAAAGAGTAAAGCTAAAATATGATTTTGACTCAGTGCATTAGCCACACAGAAAGTCTAACATTCAACTATAATGCACCAGAGGTCAGAATACCTATTATTTAGATTTCAGCTATTGTTATCTAGACCTAAATTTGCCTAAATCAACCTCTAGCCTCCCATACAACTCACTGGCCACTCCTTAAATCTTTTAAGCCTGAGCTAAAAGAATCTGTGCTTAACCTAGCTCCAAGCATGTTGACTATGCAGACAGAAACTACACAGCGAGCTGTGAAACTCTAAAATTGCATTACTTACAGAACTTTGAGTTCTTTCAACCCGGACAAGGCCTTGGGGTGGATAAAAGAAAGGTCGTTGCCAGCCAATCGCCTAGGGAAAAAAAAGTAACAAGAGGGAAAAAAATTGTAATTCAGACTCTTAAAATTTAGAACTCAAAATAACCTGATCTGTGATTCAAGCTCTATGTTAAACATTTCTCAAGTCTCTCTGACATTATACATGGGATTAACCCTTGGCTATCCCTAGATTCTTCCAAAGAGATAAATGTCTGTAGAATTTTAAAACTCCCAATACAATAATTTAAGCAGGCACATTTTTATTCTGGTGAGGTCAAGCAAGCCAGAACACATTAAACCAAATTAAGTTTGCTATTCACGGTCACTCTCTGCAGCTTGCAGTATTTTCCAAGTGCCTCCTACATACAGACTACTGGCTGGTAGGCAGGAGTGTTTATTCAGATCGGAGCAAACCTGTCTGTCAAGGAGGAATGCCTTCAGGAGGCAAGTCAGCCTGTTAACTCCCCATAACCCAGAGCAGCCCATTCTGTGCAAAGAGGCAAAAAGTCAAAGTTGTCACGAGTATAACTTTCCAAAACAAAACAGCCTATCCATGTTCTTAAAAATAAATAAGTGTTGTCCTAAAGAAGTTTGAAGTGACAAATGTTAAGTGGAAGTTAAGAGTGGAATACAAGAGAACAGAATTATCGGGTCATTTTGTAAAAAATCTGAGCATGCCACTCATACTGAGCTCCACTTTCCCATTTTCCCAGGCACAGAGAAGTGGGAAGAAAAGAGAGAACTTGAAGGAGAAGAAGCAGGAAATGGGACAGCAACTCATATAAGTAATTTATAAAGAGATGAACTAAGGGAAGTTTTCAAGTAGGAGTAAAAGATAGAAAATTGTACTGCAACAATTAAAAAAAAAAAAAAAGATAGCTGTGTTGTCCACAGAATTAAACACAGGACTCTCCCAGTTTCCTGGGTATTCTTCCAAGCAACAAGATTTTATATCTCTAATTAAAAACAAGCCCTGGCTGGCGTAGCTCAGTGGTTTGAGCGCAGGCTGCGAACCAAAGCATCATAGGTTCAATTCCCAGTCAGGACACATGCCTGGGTTGCAGGCCATGGCCCCCAGCAACCACACATTGATGTTTCTCTTTCTCTCTCTTTCTACCTCCCTTCCCTCTCTAAAAATAAATAAATAAAATCTTTTTTTAAAATCTTAAAAAAATAAAAAATAAAAAATAAAATAAAAACAAAACAAAAAAAGCTCTCTCCCCTTCATGTCTAGGGATCCCATAATCACCAAGTCATATTAAAGGGTCTGTTTCCATTGATCTTTCTCCTTCCTCTGTAAGCACCCTGCACCTCTGAGCCTTATTCCTCTATTAATTCATTCACTGAGATGTTTCACTTATTAACAAATACACGAGTAAGTGCCTACTAGGTGCCAGGCACACAACATCCTTTTAGACATCAGATGTCCCCCTGCTTCCCCTGCTTCCAACCTGTTCCTCCTATACACTTTGGTTTTAGGAGGCTCCTAAAATCTGAAGTCACCGAGTCTTGAAAACTCTATTTTTAGATGGATTGATTGTTTTCTTGAAATTTTTGTGCCAGTTAAAGTGCAACCAGCTGTGGAAAGGATAACACTTGGTCGTCACCTAGTATTAACACAGAAATGTGTACTGAGGATATGTGTGTGTGTGTGTGTGTGTGTGTGTGTGTGTGTGTGTGTTGGGTGGGGGTGCAGGTAGAAGGGTGAACAGTAAAACAATCAGGGGACTGAGAAACCAAAGGCAAGGATGCCGTTTATTCAACAGCAAGGATAACAATGCTGGATTTTCAGGCAACACCACAGTTATAAGACAGGATTTAACACTCGGTGGCCAAAACATGGATACAACTGAAATGTCCCTCGAGAGATGACTGGATAAAGAAGATGTGGTGCATATACACAACGGAATACCACTCAGCCATAAGAAAAGATGAAATACTGCCATTTGCGACACACGGATGGACCTTGAGAAGATTACACTAAGTGAAACAAGTCAGAAAAAGCTAAGAACCATATGATTTCCCTCCTATGTGGGATATAAAACTGAAACTTATGGACACAAACAACAGTATGGTGGTTACCAGATGTAAGGGGGTGTAAGCGTACCAAAGGTACAGTGACAGAAGATGGTTTGACTTTGCATGGTGTGCACACGATGCAATATACAGATCATGCATCACAGAAATGTACACTTGAAACCTATAAAATCTTATTAACCAATGTTACCCCACTAAGTTTAATTTTAAAAAAGATAGGATTTAACACATGCCCCTAAACTAAATCCTTCCTAAATAGCCTTCTCACCATGCACTTTGGTTCTTATAAGGCACCCCAGCACCTAAACTCTATATTGTCTGCCATTTGAGGGTCCCCACAATCCAGGCTCATCCTATGTAAAAGGAGAGACTGTAGATGGTTTGAAGACCTCTTCAGTGCTTCCACTTTAAAACACTTGTCCTCAGCAAATCCTCTTGATTCTAGACTAGTCAGTTTCACTACTATGTCTTTAAATGCCTCACCTCTCAACCTCATCTTCACCCCTTAAATACCCAACTTCAGTGTTACTTCCCATGAAAACTTCTGTTCTTAGGAACATGCCTAATGTATGAATTCTTAAAACTCAACTAAACTTGGTCACAGGCTACCTTCTACTGTTTGTTCCTTGCAGAGTGGGCTTGTAGGCCAAGTACAAACACTTTCAAGTAAAGGGCATGCATCTCATCCTTCTGTTACCACTCACCAACTTGCCAACTCCTCATTCAAAAACTGCTTTCTACCCTAGTCAACTAGCTCAGCTGGTTACAGCATCACCCCCATATGCCAAAGTTGTGGGTTTGATCCCTGGCCATGGAACATACAAGAATCAACCAAAGAATGCATCAGTAAGTGGAACAACAAATCGATGCCTGCCCCTCTCGCTCCTTCTCTTTCCCTCAAGTCAATACTGAAATTTTTTAAACTGCTTTCTCAGAATTTCTTCCTGTACAATGCTTGCCATTCCAATACCATAGCATCCCATACCCTACATCTCAGTGTGGGCTTAGTGTAAGCCCTCTCAAGTTTTCCTCCATCACCCATCCACCACTCATTAAATTCAACTGATACTGCTCACAGCTGTAATGCAGTGTCTAAAAGACCACACCTTTAAAAGACAAAATTGGAAGTTTTCTTTCATTATTTTTTCAAGTAGATTTCCAATTTCTTACCCCTTCTCTTCTCCTTCTGGCAGCCCTATGATGTGAATGTTGGAACACTTGAAGTTGTCCCATAGGCTGCTTACACTGTCCTCATTTTTTTTAGATTCTTTTTTCTTCTTCTTGTTCTGATGGGTTGTTTTTTGGTTCCTTATATCCCAAATTATTGATTTGATTCTCGGCTTCATCCACTCTACTGTTGTTTCCCTGTAAATTGTTCTTTATTTCCATTAGTGTATCTTTCATTTCTGAATGATCTTTTAATGCTGTTCAGGTCCTCACTAAGTTCTTTGAACATCCTTATAACCAGTGTTTTGAACTCTGCATCTGCCAGATTGCTTATCTCCATTTGTTTAGTTCTTTTTCTGGAGTTTTGATTTGTTTTTTTTTCATTTGGGCCATGTTTCTTTGACTCCTCATTTTGGCAGCCTCCCTAAGGAAATAGACATGAAGTCCATGGAGCAGAGAGAGTCCCAAACAGGATGGATGATGCAAAGAGGCCTGCTCCAAGACACATCATAATTAAAATGCCAGAGTTAAGATTCTCTTTTTATCTTTAAAAAGAGAATCTTAAAAGTAGCAAGAGAAAAGCAGTTAGATACCAACAGGTGAGTTCCCATAAGACTGTCAGCTGATTTCCCAAAAGAAACTTTGTAGGCTATAAGAAATAGACAAGAAATACTCAAAGGTATGAAAAGCAGGGGCCTACAGCCAAGATTGCTCTACCCAGCAAAGATATAATTTAGAATTGAAGGGCAGATAAAGAGCTTCCCAGACAAGAAAAACCTAAAGGAGTTCAATACCACCAAACCATTATTATATGAAATGTTAAAGGGATTTAAGAAAAAGATCAAAACTATGAATAATAAAGTGGCAATAAATACATACCTATCAACAACTGAATCTAAAAATCAAACTAAGCAGACAAAAAGAACAAAGAGAGAATCAAGGATATGGAGAGCATTCTGATGATTGTCAGTTTAGAAGGGGTACAGGGGACTGGATGAAGAGGTGAGGGCATTAAGAAGTACAAATAGGCAGTTACAAAATAGCTACAGGGATGTAAAATACAGTATAGGAAGTGGAGTAACCAATGAACCTATATGCATGACCCATGGCCATGGACAATGGTGTGGGGATTGCCTGAGAGAGTGGAGGGTGCTGGGTGGAGGGGGGCAAAGGGTAAAAAATTGGGACAACTGTAATAGCATAATTAATAATTTTTTTTAAAGAATCAACATAAAAAAATAAAAGATCATGTTGGACTATAAGGACTATAAGGGGCAGTAGCCTTCTTTCCCCCAAGGCTGCAAGTAGTCACATGACGATGACAGCTCCTCCAAGTTACCAGAACAATCGGCCTTCAATTGTCAAGTCTGCCAAAAAGCAAACACTAGAAATAGACTGAGGCTGTTACAGGATTCTTATTCTTCTGTTTCTAGTATTAGCTTTTAAAGTCCCTGTATCTATGGACTTGCCTTGAGTTCAGTCTGTTGTACTGGAGCGCATGAAAAGGGTGTCTTATATAACAGAGGAAGTGGCAAAATGCAGAGAACCTGATTACCTTCATTTGTCAACAGCAAAGAGTGTTTAACCACAGGAGCCAAAATATTTGCTTCCTCTCCCCACATCTTTGCCCCTTTACGAGCCATGGGAAAACTAAAGTAAGCTGACTTCAAAAAGCACCCTCTCTTTCCTCACCATTTATCATTAATGGAAATGACCAAATGAGCTCTCTGTGTGTGGCTTATCCTGAAATGCAAACTCACTATCTGGAGAAATCAACACTGCTGGGATGTGGTGGATGGCGATAATGCTGAGATGGGGGCACTCTGCCTC